AAAAACTAAAATTAAAATATTTGTGATTAAAAAAAATTATAAGAATTAGAAAAATATTTGATTATATGAATATTTTGGTTTTTTAAAAAAAAATAAAATATTTTATATTTTTTTAAATTATTTTTAATTATATTCGATCTAAATAAATATTTGATTATATGAATATTTGGTTTTTAAAAAAATTTTATATTTTTTAAATTATTTTTTAATTATATTCGATCTAAATGAAATATTTTTATTATTTTTAATTATATTTTGATTTAAATTAAAATTCTTTTCTGTAATAAATTTGGCTTTTATTTTTTTTAGTGTAAGTTTAAGGGTAAATTGTAAGTTAATTTTTGAGTAAATTAAATATTGCTCCCAAGTTCAAAGGGGCAAATGAGCTTTATCTAAAGTTTGGGGTTGGATCAGATAGAAGTATACCAAATCGGTTGGATATATAGAATTTGAAGGGATCAATCCATAATCGTAGTTTATCTATACTCATTAATTTATTCTTATATAATAATATGAAGATTTTATAATGTCAAAGTATAATATAACTGTTTATTGATTTAAGAAAAAATAATCATTTATTTCTTGAAATTGTTTCCTTCGCCTTCCTAGTTCCTACCACTAGCAAATGTCGTCATATTATTATATATGGGATGCAGTTTCCTACACTATTACAAGTCGAATGACACTTTGTTGTCAAGGCAATCATAGCATACAACATGATGACGGTCTATGTGCTTGTGCTCCACACGCACAAAATTCATTTATGATAAGTTCAGGAAATTAAATCATAGTTTATAAAATAGAAAGCAAATTCATTTATTTAATAAGCCAACACTTCAAATTTAATGATGTAGTTATGGGATATCTAAAGTTTCTATTGTAACTATCTTATTTAAATTTTCAAATTTTTATAATCAGTCATTCTCTATGGAGACATCAGTCCCTCTTCATAGACATGATGCCCGCACCTAGCTCACTAGGGCCGGGTCTCGCATTCCGACCCCGGGGCGACGGAAAGCATTACGCCGGGTCTCCCCTCTCATATTCTTGGTCCATATGCCATTCAACATGCTATTTTTGCCTCCAATAGCCTTACTTCGTCCATAGAGTCACCATGGTAAGGCACCATGGATAGGGATGCTGAACTCACACCTCTACATTATCGTAGGTGTAACCAATCTGCTAATAGGGCAGAAAGAAATAATAGAAAAATACGTAAATTGATTGTATACAACTATTGATAAACACTAGAATAATCGATATTCACTGGATAGGAGGCACCCTTTTGAATTTAAATTCTCCAAGGATAGTCAATCGTGTGGGCTACTTTGTTGCATGAGATAAAACATTGTATGTATTTGTGAAATATTTTGTTGAGGACAAAAACACAAACTCGTGTTAGTGTTTTCCTTACAACAATACCTCAGAGAGATGGATGAGTGTAGGCAAAGCAATAGGAAGTGTATTGCCAATGCAAAGGAGAAAATTAAAGTTTAACAACTTGAATCTGCAGAGTTAAATTAATTATTTTAAATGATTAAATCAATTGGTTCTTTCTTTAGTTTGTTCATTCTTCAACGAACCCTTAAAAGCACATCTTAAGTTAAGAATGCAAAGAAGATGAAAGTGACACAAAACAGATAGAATGTGTAAGGAGAAAGAAATCTCAGGTCGCAGGCAATGGCATGAATAAATAAGAATATATAACTATTTAGTCTTTCAGATTTTGTCATAATTATAGCTTTGTAATTATTTGTAATTACATTTATTAGTTTCTGATATTTAGCTCCTTTAAAATTATTTAGTCCTATATAAAAAGTGCTATATTTGCTATTAAGTACAGGATCAGATAATAATTCAATAGCAAGAGCCCGTTTGGAACAAATGATATTTGAAAATAATAGTCCGATTACTAAATATCAAATCTTGAAAATAGATATCAGATAATTAAAGAAAAATCAAAGTATGAACTTTTTTTTCAATTTATATATATTTTTAATTTTTTTCAAGTATAATTTCAATTGGAATTTGTGGTTGTCTCTTCTCAAAATGTTTTTTTTTTTTTATCGTTTTTTATATCATTTTCAATTTGGAGTAAATCAATAATTAAAATTTCGATGCAATCAATTTTTGTATTCATGAAAATAATTTACAGAAAGAGGTATTTACGGATCCTAAAAATGAAGTAAAGATCGAAAATATCCTTTCTCATAAACCTAAAAAGTTAAAAGCTTTTTCTATTCGTCCATGGGCGACTATTGGAGTTTTATCGGTGGTAACTTTTTGTCCTTTTTTTTCCCGAATAATCCTCAGATTTATGTCTTTTGATGCAAATCTGAATTATTATTGCTCATATATTAAAATTATTATTGCTCATATATTAAAATTATTATTGCTTATATATTGAGATTTTGTTTTCTAATTTAATCATTTTGATAGTTTCTAGATTATTAGTGTTCATTTTTGAAATGCGACGTAACATAGCATTGAGCATTTTCTTTTTCTTTTCACTGGAGTCAGTTGGGAAACAAAGCTCAAAAGTTGACTAGATTAAAGTCAAAAACTGTGAAATTACATGTAACTTTTATATACTTGCCCTTCTATAATATGTTATTCCGTTCTTTTTATATAGGAAAATTTTTCATTTTGTGCTTTTTTTTTTTTATATAAAAAATTTTGTTTAATTTAATAATTTTGGAAACCATATCAATATAAAAAGTCTATATCGCCATTGTTTTAGTCCTTTGTAAAGCTTTTAGTGTGAGAAATTTTCAAGGTAATAGCAAAAAAAAGTATAGATGAACATTGAATATGAAGAAATTTTGGAGAATAATTTTTTTAATCAAATTTTATTGAAAAAAAAATGCTCATATAGATGACTGAGTGCTGATTAAAATGAAGTTATAATAGAAAAAGACCACAAAATTTTTAGGTTAACCACATTAAAAGGAATTTTTACAGACTTCACCTGAATATTTGAAAATTTGAGGGATATTTAAAATGTATTTTTAATAACCAAAGACAGTTAGAAGATTAAATGAGCACAAATTTTCATATTTTCACACAATTTTTTCAAATAAAAAGACCAAAAAACGACTTTTCCTTCACAGATTAGAGCGTAAACTTCACTTTTTGCAACCGTTTATATTTCCTTATTCCAACAAAGTATTTAAAGCATCATTGAAGATTAAAACATAATTTAAGATATTAGAGGAGGAAGAAATGAGATATTAGGGGTAAACTAGGAAAAAAAAGGCAAAAAAATTAGTTAAACTATTTTCTTAGTCTAAGGCTCCGTTTATTTCTGTAAAATAACTTGTAGGAAATTATTTTTCATAATGTTCTGTTGTTTGGGGACGCTCGGAAAAATAAGTCAACGGAAGATATTTTTCTCGTCAAAAGAAAATTAAGTCATTTTTTAAGAAAATGACTTTCCATTTTCAAGAGTGTAAAAACATTTTCCAGACAAGAGCGTAAAACATTTTCCGTACTTTAATAAACTTATTATAACCTTATAAATCCATATTTTTTTAATTTATTAATCATCAGTGCCACTACCACCACTCACCGTTCACCACCACCAGTCACCACCGATGATCACCGATGACTTTTATAATTTAAAATGCGAAATTATTATTATTATTATTATTATGAGTTAAAATTTTTAATATTTTTAACTATTGCAACCAAACAATAAAAAATAAATCATTTAGAAAATATTTTTCAATGAAAAAAAAATATTTTCCAAAGATAAGTTATTTTTCAGAAAAACGGAGCCTTGGTGAAAAATTAGTTGTTCCTATATATAATGAAATTGAGAAAGTATTATATTAAAAGTTGTACAGTATAGGAAAACCTTTTAGAATTAATGACCTTTTTTGAGAAAAAAATTTTTTTATATTACACAATATAATAATACTACACCAAAATATTAACAATAAATAGCCTAATGCATAAATTTACCCTAAGCTTTAAAGTTTTGTCATTGTGACACTTTAACCTCTTATTTGAAACAAACGAATTCCACCATATTTTGAAAACGTGGAACATAATTTTGGTATAAATGAATTGAAAATGTGCAATTCATTTATAAATGAATTGTTCATGTTGGTATGATTAATTTAAAATATGTAATTCAATTGAATCGTGTATGGAATAAATTCATAATTGAAAATTCATTTCCTTTTGTTTCCTAAAATATCATTGAAATAGTAATTTTACTAGAATAAATAATAAATACCAATTATATTTATGTTATGGTACATAATTTTTTTATATTTTTAGTAAAATAAATATATAAAATAAAAAATAATATACAATATATTTATGTTATGGTACATAATTTTTTTATTATTTTTAGTATAAATAAATATATAAAAATATAAAAAATAATATTAATAAAAATTATTGTATTTAAATGATGATAAATAAATAATATTAATAAAATTATTGTATTTAAATTGATGATAAATGTACATTTAACTTGAATCTTTCTCTCTCCTTAATAGTAAAGGACATGCTAAAAAAATATTAAAATAAAAGATAAAAATATTAAAATAAAAAATAATAAGAAATCATTTTTCTGAAAAAATAAAAAATTTTAAATAATTTTGATCAAATTTAATAAAATAAATAAGTTAAATAATTGAAAAATTCCTTGTAGAAGGAAAATGATAATTTTATCATAAAAAGTTGAATTACTTAGTTTTGTGGAATTCATTTGGAAATTTCACTTATTTATGTTGGATTTGATATAGTTACGTTCAATTTTATGAAATTAAATTTATAAAATTAAAATTTATATTTTTTTATTCCAAATCTAAAAAAATATAAATTTATAAATGAATCTCGCAGAATTTTATAATAGAGTTCATTTATTACAGCTGCCGGAGATAAGTCAATTTTCAACTGATTGAAACTTGAGGACTGCAGAGGGAATTAAAATCCAACGGCTACTTTCCTATTCCCTTATAATAAGTCCAAAGTGCAACTGCAACCGACCATACTTTTTCTTTTTACAGCTTGGCTTTCCAGTCTCTCCACCACCAATTCTGATTTTCACTAATTCAATCCACCTTTTTTCGTAGCATTAAAAAGCTCCATCTTCTCATTCATGGCTCAACCCTTGTACTACAATCCCCGCACAGAGACCAACCCCTTTCTTCAACTAAAAAGATTGCTCTCCTTTAACCCAATAACCAAAAATGCCTCAAAAGAGAACACCCATTTTCCACAAGGTCTCAAATCTTTTTAAAGTCTCCATTTTTGTTTCCAAAATGAGAAAACCCATCATCCCAAAACTCATTTTCTTCAAAAAGTCAAGAAAGCTTAAAGCATTCATGTTGCTAAAGCACTGTAATAACAAAAACTATGGGATTATTGAGGATTACGAGTTCTCTGCTTCAAGTACTCCTCTTATTGGTTACCGCAAAAGACAGTTCAAGAATGGGAGCTATCGAGATAATTTATACTCTCTGTTTTTACTTTGCAGATGCTTGGGTGGATTGAAAGTTGATAGAGGAGAATTAGATTATGCATTGCAATTGGAAACAGCAGCAGCTGCCAATGCCATTTCTGCTAGGGAGTATTTGCAGCCGTTGGATTTGGGAGATGAGTATGAAGAGTCAGTTGATCAGAGGGCAGAAAGGTTCATTGAGAGATTTTATCAAGAGATGAGAATGCAGAGGCAGGAATCGATTTAAAGCTGTTCAGACTAGAATATTTGTCATCTGCTACAGCCACCGCTGTTTTTTTTATTTTATTTTATTTTTTAATTTAAAAATATTTGTTTATTAATTTGAATATTGGTTTAATGGTTCTGAGCTCCACATGATTTTATTTTAGAATGTGGAGATTCGGTCTTTGTATTTTTTTTTTTTAATTTTTTTGTCAAAATTGTTGTGTGGAGCAAAATTTGTTTCTCTCGATTCCTTGGATGTACTTAATTAATTAATAAAAACGTGAGTCATTATGTTTTTTCATAGTCGATCATTGATTCAAACTTGAGTTTTTATATTTCATTTGTTACCAAAAGTTATATTTGGGGACAGACGGAAGTGGTTAAGTGTCAAGAAATACCCTTTGAATGCACATTCAATACATTCAATACACGTAAAAGAATTCTCATATTTGATCTGCTAAATGCATTTATAGAAGAGACGAAAAACTTTAATTGTAATTAAGTCTCAAATCAAATTAATCGGTACCTGATAATATAGTCAAGATATTAATGATTTAAAAATAAATAAATTCTATTTGGCATATAGTACGAAAGTATAAAATATAAATTAGAATTTATTTCATCATATTTGGATTTTCACTATTTATAAAATATAGACAATTTTTTTGTGTATGTCATTTTTTTTTTCATTTAATATTATCTACTATCCACGTATGATACTTATGAACCGGGGCAAGTAAAAAAATTTATGTAAAAAATTTAGCGCTAAATTATCCCGAATGCCTCAACAGTACTGATTTATAACAATTGCACCCTAAAATGAATTTAATCATTTAGACACTCCAATTTTAAATTTGTATAAAAATTCCTTTCTAATTACAAATTCAGTTAAAATTAATATTAAAATATAATAAACGAGAACCCATAGAAGTTAGCTAACCCAATTTTGGTCAGCATATTCTAACGACATCGTTTTAGCTTGTTCAAGTGATTGTGTTAGTAGCTTTGTGAAGTTATGATCTCATTTTCTAACTTTGATTTGCTAATTATAAGAAACAATAAATTTTATTCAAAGATTCCAAAACTTACAGTGCAAACTCAGGGTAATAAATTTTAGTTTGTGGTTCATGGAATAGACAATGATGGACGGAGTCGATATGAAGTGGTGCCATTTAAAATATGCTAACCATAGTTGGCTTAACTCATTTCTATGGGTTCCACGTTTATTATATTTTAATGTTAATTTTGACTGAATTTGTAATTAGGATGTAATGGTTACACAAATTTAAAATTGTATATCTAGGATGCAATGGTTACAAGTAGTAAAGTTGACGGTACACAGATGATTAGCCTAAAATTTAGATTTACATCTTATCTATTTATAAGCTCCACTTATTTGCAAAAAATAATTTATCTGAAATATTTTCTGATTTTTCGGTGTTTAAATGCTTAGGAAAACAAGTTGATATTGGTCAAAAGAAAATTAAATTATCTTTGACTTTTCATTTTCAAAAAAAGAAAATATTTTTTAAAAAAAGAAAATATTTTTCGGACATCAATAAATTTATTTTAACCTTATAAATATACATTTATTAATTTATTATTCACCCATATCGACCATTACTGGTCACGATCACTTGCAACAATCATAATTTATTATTTATTATGCATTTATTTCTCATATTTAATAATAAATTTTTAAAAATATGAAATTTCTATAATTATAAATATTTGTATGGTATTATCTTATAAGTTAAATATTTTAATATTTTTAAACCGGAATAACATTGTGGGTCACATAGCAGGGGGCAGCCCTGCTCTTTAAATAACATTCACCAAATTGGTAATAACTTTGTGCTAACTCGAGACCTCTCACTTCCTACATCTATTACAAGAGGTAGAAAAATCAATCATATTACACCTGATTGACAACTAATTTTGAATGTTACACCCAAAGAATGAAAAATGAATTATGGAAAAAATATTTCTCTTGCCAAACATTTTTCTTTAAAGCACTTTCCAGAGGTAAATTATGGTGTATTTATTTGTAGAAAACTGGAATAGTTTTTCAAGAAAATTGGAAAACAGAGTTTTGTATTCAAATCAGTTAATTTTTTATTTGGAAAACTATAAAATATTTTTTTAGTTTTCTAAAATTTAACTAAAATTTGGAAAATAGCTTATTTTCCAGAGTTTTCCTTTATAATAAATGACATGTTTTCCGACCGCTTTTCACTTTTTTTAAAGTGACATTTTCATAATTAAAATTATAATATCCAAAAATAATTTTTTCTATAAAATATTTTCATTAGAAAAAGTAAAAATATTTAAGTGAAATAAAATTTTATAGTATGCTTTAATAAATAATTAATATTATTATTACAAATATATTATATTCTTTATTTTTAAAAAAAGCTTTAATAAAATAATTAAATTATTATACAAAATATATTATATTCTTTATTCTTTTTAAAAAAATTTTACAAAAAATGATAAAAAATGATATTATTATTATAAATAATCAAATAGTAAAAATTCAATACAAAATGATAAAAAATGATATTATTATTATAAATAATCAATAGTAAAAATTCAAAAACTTTTAGATACAAAAATTTTAAAATTATTTTATAATATTTTATTTATTTTAATTATGAAAGTTATGAATAATGTTTGTGAAATTAAATTAAAATATAATTTATTATTATTATCAAGTCAATGCATTTTTCATTTTCTTTTTTCTAGTTTTTATTTTCTAAGCAAACTATTTTATTAAAAAACAGAAAATAGAAAATAGAAAAATGGTTTATGCAAGTAAACGCAACCTTGGTTTTTAGAAATAAGTGGAGGTTATTGTATATTTTGAATCTGGTTTGGATTTAGCTGATACTTTATTTGGATGGGAGAGGAAAAAGTAATAAGAAAAAGTAATAAGTTAAAGTAGAGCTTAATTTATAAAAAAATTTTGAGGTTTGCGATTTGTTACAAAATCACCTTAATCTGACTTTCGTCTTCCCTTGTATCCCAACTTAAAAACTTTATAATACTATTAGCCTAAAATCAAAATTAACTTGGATTTTGAACAGAATACTATTAAAATGGGTTCCTGAACTAGGTTGGGTTCTCCTGCACAAAATCAAAACGCCATATTTTTACTTCCTTAATTTCTTCCCTTCCATATTTTTCAACCATCCAAACATAGCAAAAGTATTTGCCAACGAAATCCTAGCAATCAAATTTCATAACTTCCTAGACTAAGGTTTGATTATTACACCGCGTGTACTTCCTAGCAGCACGGCCATATTGACCAATGAGCCCTTGTGATTTACCACAAGAATACAAAGCGGTAATCGATGCTCATTAAGCTGTTTCGAAATGCATTAATGAGACAAAGTGGAAGCAATGAATGCTTAAATTCTCTTTGTCCATAAAACTTCCCATTGGATCTTGCGCTGTAAGTTGGAGACGTTATAGAATTCTGAAATGTCTGATGTTTTTTTTTTTCAACTGTCTCATCTTTAGGGCACAAAATTTTGTTTTATTGGAGTATTTTAGCTTTCTTACTCGAGTAAATGGAAGAACAAACTATAATTTCATGAATTTTAGAAAAAATAACCTCTCGCCCAATCAATATTGGACACACATCAGAAACGTCTTGGTAGGCTTCCCAGCCCAATTGCGTGGCCCAAATAGGCCTGAAAATTACAAGTTCGAAAATAATAAAACCTATGCTTGGGCCGTCTCTTCGAGATGGAAGAAGCTTGGTACTAGTACAGACGAATATTATACACCGACGAGCACGCAACCATTTTTCATCATTTTCCTTTTACTGCTCGCGTTACAGCTTCTCTTTCAGGTTAGGGTTTTCAGTTTCAAAGAATTTCAATCGATTGACCAATCGAAAGAGCGAAAGAAATAGACAGATTGGTTTATCGATTGAAATGGAGAAGAAGGTTAATTTTAAAGTATACAACACAATGACTAAAAATGTGGAAGAATTTAAGCCTAGAGTCCCTGGCAAGGTCGGTATGTACGTCTGTGGTGTCACCGCCTACGATTTTAGCCATATCGGTCATGCACGCGCCGCTGTTGTCTTCGATATCCTTTTCAGGTATAGAACAAAAACATACACAGTTCAATTGTGTGTATATTTTTTTTGCTTATTTAATTTTTCCTCTGTGATTGGACTCACAGTTATTGAAGGGTATGGTTTGTTACAATATTAAAACAAACTGGAAATGTTAATTGATTATTTTCCAGTAAGCTCCACATCATAACTCATTTATTTACAATCAGATGTTTTGTTTGTTATATATGTGTGTCTATCTATGTAGGTATCGATAAATTTTTTTTGATATCTTAAGTTTAAAAATATTTGAAAATTAATGCCTTTGATGCCATTGATTTCATGAACTGAAATTCTGCAGATATCTGCAACACTTGGGTTATGAAGTTACTTATGTTCGAAATTTTACTGATATTGATGACAAGGTGAGAATTTGATTGGTATATTGTGATGTGTGATTTTAGTTGTATCTGTTAAAATAATTTCTGTACTCTTTCCCTTTATTTTATTAGCTGAATATCATTGTGTTAAATCTGTTATTCATGTTGTATTGATAGCAAGGTTATTATTTTCGAACACCTTAGTTTATAGAAGTGGTAATCTTCCTTTACGCACAAGCTAAGACTTATCAATCATGCACATGAAGTACATAGCCTTGGAAATGTGTAAGACTTCTAATTTTCTTCTGTAAGGTTTCTCTAGATGTGGTTAGAAAAAGAACCCAACATGAATTAGTCATCATTTTAGTCTTTGGTCTTTTGGACTTCAACAAAAGTTGATATAATCTCCAACAATATGCAATTGGCTTTTAGAGCTTCATTCCAATCCTAAATTTTGCACCTCCTTCTCTCTCTCTCTCTCTCTCTCTCTATATCTCCTTCTCTCTCTCTCTCTGCTCTCTGCTCTATATATATATAATAATATATATATATTTGTAGGATTGAGACATGTATGAATTTCTCAATTGGGATGATGTCTTTTTTTTTTTTTTTCCAAGATAATTCGCAGTTTTTTTTTTTTTTTCCAAGATAATTCGGCGAGCGAATGATCTTGGTGAGGATCCATTATCTTTAAGCAGCAGATTTTGCGAGGAATATCTTGTTGACATGGACAGTCTGCAGTGCCTCTGGCCTACACATCAGCCTCGTGTGACTGATCATATGGAACAGATTAAGGACATGATCACACAGGTTTATTCTCTGTTTTACAATTTGAATATGTAGTCTCAGTGGAAGAGATGCTTATGTATTTTGATGTTAATTAACAAGGCTAAGAAATATATAAACCTTAAACTGTTCCTAAAACTATTTTGAGTTTTTGTGAAAGCAATTGCCTTTATTATCTGTCCAATTCCTAATGGTAATTTATAACTAAATATCTTGGGTATCGTGTTGTGTAGTGAGTGACCTATTTGGTCCCTTGCAATAAATGTAGTGGCTATGAGGAGCTGTAGAAGCAGTGTTATTAGAATCATGCGTTTTGAAATTTGAATTGTTCAGTTCGAGTCAATTCTTATGCCCAACATTATGAATCTTGTGGTGAATTGGAATTGCACATGAATCATAGGCAAATTAATGGAATGTTAGGTGAATTATAGGAATTGCAAGGAATCGGTAGATTCACACGATTAGGAAACAAATTGGAAAAAAAAAAAAAAAAGATGGGACTAAAGCACTTCATGCAATGCCTGACCTGTGTTTGTTTACTGAGAAATAAGTAGGAAATAGCAGAGAAAGAAGAAAAAAGAAGAGAGAACAGGTATGAAGAGAGAGAAACGAGATACGAAGAGAGTGAGAGACATAGAAAATTAAAGAGAGAAAGAAAATGAACAGATAATATTAATTAAGAAATTACTAATATATTGCATAAGTGGACTATTTGTACAATAATTCAATAACTGTCACATCACAAGACCACAAAATGTTTACAATTAATCCCAAACTAATTAACACAAATTTTATTACTACACTCTCTGTAATTACCATAAGGGTCTAACACAACATAAGTCATTAAATTCTCTTTTATTTTACGATATGCAATTGAATTTTTAGTATCTTTTGATAAAATTAATAATTTTTAATTGATTTATCAAATCTTATGGTTCAATTCTTGATTCTCAATTCAGAATATAAGGATTCTGATTTTTGATTTAAATCTCGATTGGACAACTATGTGTAGAACTAGCTCAGTTTGATAGGGAGACCAGACTTGAATTTTCTAGTTTGGTGACTATTAAATGACAAAATGTAATTTGTTTTGCACTTTGATTAGTTATTATATTTTGTGATTGATACAAGCTTGAATGTTTATTTCTTTTTTGTTTCAAAGTCCATCTTATATCTTGTACTTAAGTGTAGAAAGAAAATTTTACTTTGTTGCTATTGCTGAAATTTTACTGAGCTGCACCACCTCACCACAACACTACTGAAATAAGAAAAGGAAAGACCTGTTTCATATTTTTTTTCTTCAGTTGTTGTTCTCATGTTCTAGTTTTTCATTGGGCAGGTTTGTTTTCTTTGAAGTTAAAACGAATGGCATTGCTTTCTGCAGATAATAAAGAATGGCTTTGCTTATGTTGTCGAAGGGGATGTGTTCTTTGCTGTTGATAGATTCCCAAACTATGGTCAGCTGTCTGGGCAGAAACTTGAAAATACTAGAGCTGGTGAGCGTGTTGCTGTTGACACAAGAAAACGTAATCCTGCTGACTTTGCATTATGGAAGGTAAACTTGTCAAAAAGTTACTTGCGCCATCCAAATTTTGTAGTTTTGTGGACATGATTCCATATGAGATATTCATTAATTATTGTAGGCTGCAAAGCCTGGTGAGCCAAGTTGGGAGAGCCCATGGGGTCCTGGAAGACCGGGATGGCACATAGAGTGCAGTGCAATGAGTGCTCACTATCTGACCTTTAAGTTTGACATCCATGGTGGTGGAAGCGATTTGACTTTTCCACATCATGAAAATGAGCTTACACAGAGTGTTGCTGCATGTCAAGAGTGCAATATAAGTTATTGGATGCATAATGGGCATGTCACCAATAACAATGAGAAAATGTCAAAGTCCTTGGGCAACTTTTTCACAATCCGTCAGGTAAACTTGGGATCCAGTTGGTCTTCTTCTTGTTATTCTTTTTCATTTTTTATTTCCTAGTTATCTTTTCCTGAATTTTTTTTTAATTGTCTAAAAAGATAATTTAGCCCCCACGAATACATGCCATGAAAGTAATCTATCCAATCCTTTCAGGTTACTGACCGGTACCATCCACTTGCTTTGAGACACTTTTTGATGAGTGCACATTACCGCTCTCCTCTGAATTACACTGTACTGCAGCTGGAAAATGCATCTGATGCACTCTTTTACATTTATCAGGTTTAAAGCTTATTCTTGTTCTTTATCGTTTTCAATTGAAGTTTGTTCAGCTTTTAGCCAAGCCGATCAATGCATAGCACCTCTTTGAGGTTCTGATAACTTGTAATTACATCAAAGATTTGTATGGATGTGTACATAAACGGGATGGATTTATAAGCTTACTTTTCCTCTTGGAACTTATTTGACTTACAGTTGTTATCTCCTTGAGCTGTGAAATTAAGCCTGAACAAATAAGATTCGTCTTTCTTGTTGGATGTCTTGCCTAGCTGGATAAGCAGTTGTCATTGTTGGAGCCTGTTAGATATTTAGGTTCAAATTTGAGTTTTGAAAAGTTTTGCTTAGATGTAGAGAGCAGTTAAAACTAAACTTTTTTTTCCTTTTTGGAGTTTTTGTATCCAAATTATTTCAAATTTACGTAAATACAAATTTCAATGGCTTGTAATCTACATATTCAAGATAATACTTTTTGAACGGCAATTGATGCAAAAGATGCCGAGCAAATTTTAAGTAGTTTTACCTTTGGGTCTTGGCCATCACATAGAGAAAATGGTTTTTTTTCCTGTTTGTATTTGTTATATAAATTTGCATTATGCCAATGATAAGCTATAGTAAAATTTCATCAATTATGTAGTGGATTGCTTTGTTTTGCTCACTTGGTATGCTACATTCATAATGTTCTATGCTACCATGCTTTAGTTCTACTGATATAGATACAAATGCATATTGAAATGGAGGGTAATGCTTGCACATAAACTGATCCACTCCATACAAACTCACCTACCCACATTTCAACAAAATTAAGATTCATATCCCTAGGAGATTATTAACCCAATATTGATTGTAGACGTTGCATGATTGTGAGGAAGCCTTGTCATTGTTTGAAGATGGAAGCCTTAAAGAGGGTGTGGGGCGGAATGGCAAAGTGGTTGGAATTACTGCTGATGCCCAAAAATGCATCAGCAAACTACATGATGAGTTTGAGACTAAAATGTCAGATGATTTAAGCACGTCTCATTTGTTGACTGGTGCTTTCCAAGATGCACTGAAGTTCATAAACAGTTCTTTGAGCATGCTAAAGGTATGAGTTTTGTTCCTGTCCATTTTAACATGTCTTGTGAATCTCGCTATGCTTCTCTGTGTGTATTTCTGCCCATGTTTGTATGAGGAACGACAAAGTCCTATGTTCTTGGCTTTTGCAGAAGAAACAACAAAAGCAACAACAATCTTCATTGGTTAAATCCATTACTGAAATAGAGAAAGAAGTTAAGTTAGTTCTGAAGGTTGTGGGACTGCTTCCTCCTTGCTCTTACACTGATGTAAGGTTTCCAAATTTTTTAAAGATGATTTTAAGCTAGTGATTTTATTTTTCTTGGTTGGAATATACCAAACAAGAATTTATTTTCCATTGGACAGGTTTTGCAGCAACTAAAAGAAAAGGCATTGAAGAGGGCTGAACTAACGGTGCAAGACGTGGCAGCTCTTATTGAGGAAAGAACAACAGCAAGGAAAAACAAGGATTTTTCAAGAAGTGATCAGATCAGGGCTGAATTGACAGCAAAAGGCATTGCACTTATGGATGTGGGCAAGGAAACCGTTTGGAGACCATGTGCTCCTGTTGAACCAGAACAGGACGCACCATCTGTTGGGGAAGTGCAAAACCCACCGCCAGCAGCTGTATCTAGTTGATGGACAGCCTTTTTCAGGCCCCAGCCTCAGTTGTAGCGAAACCTCAATTGCGAAAAATGATAGCTTTTACAGTTTTTATCCCACTAAAACCAAAAGTTAAAAGGTTAATTTACGTTCTGAATTTACACCTTACGTTGTATCATTCAAGAGCTTTCACTTTTTATGGCCTTGTGACAACACCATTGAACTCCTCATAAAATTTTTGTGATACGATACAGGAATGTTTGTAACCTTTTTGTTATCTCGCACGGTTTAATGGGTAGTGACCTGGATTGTTGCCCAGTAATGGTTTATTTCACCTTATATGTTGCTTGGCATTCAATTTTTATAGCAGAAAACTCTTAGGCTTCAATATCTCTGCACAAGGGGCTTTGCAAACTTAACGGATACTCTGGCTTGGGTTTTGTCGATCTATAGGAGCTATCCATATCGATTTTGGACCCTTTATGTGTCGGAGCCTATGAGCCAAAATTTCAAAGGTGTACTCATTCGAAACTCGGTGATTTTCCTGTGGTTTTATGGGTTACCGTGACAAATTAAGATATACCTTAATGGTTAGTGCATATAGAATCTCTCAATAAATTTAGGTTCAAATCTCTCTTCTCCATGCTCAAAAAATAAAATAAAATAAAAATCTGTGGGTTACCATGCTTGTTGTATCTCTTTTGTGGAGATTAGCAATTAAGCGCATATATATATATATATATATATATAAGCTCTGCAGTCCAAATATGACGGGAACTCTTATCATTGTACTTGGGCCTAATGGTTGGACTTGGACTCAATTAGACGAAACTTAAATTTAAAAGCTTAGGGCTCCCCAGAATTTCATTAATAGGATTTATTTTCCCTCTCTCTCTCTCTCTCTCTCTATAACAAGGAACAGGACCAGGACCATTAAAAAAGTTTAATCGGTAAAAAATGGTGCTTGTTTCCTCTGCTAAAGTTGTCCTAGCCAATGACGAAGCAAAGAGTACATTAATTTTCTTTAAAAGGAGAAAACGTAGGGTTGCCCTCGTAAAAGGATCTTTGCTAATTTGCATATATAGATGTTCTATGAAGTGTCTTAATAGTGATGGAAACATGGCTCAGAAAAGATACATATGGTCAAATCAAATCTAGTAGGAGCATAGCAATATATATGGTAAAATGTTTTATTTTCTTGTTCAATTTATATATCCTATCTATTATTTCCATTCCTTTTCCCAGCATATTAAGTTACTTCCAAAGCATCATGTCTGGTCCTATTGCCATTTCATTTCTGTGCAAGAAAAAGACAGCCTAACCAATTTATTACAGGGTTACCCTTTCTTTTTTCATTTTATTCTAGTCAAAATTTGCTCACAAACTTTCATTGATTTTTTTGACATAAAAATGTAAATCATGATAATTAATATAAACTGGTTTGAGAATTTCTCTTATTACAAATAAAAAAAAAAAGAAAGTATATAATTCTCGCATCAAATACTTGCACAAAATATGATTTAACTCCACCAATGATATGCTTCCTTTTTTTAAAAAAAAAGTTTGACTTCACTGCTATTTCTATTATATGAAAAGACCAGTTAAATGACACTTGATTAGCTAATTTTATTAATAGATGAAAGAATAAATATGAATTATTTCGCTCCAGAAAATTTAAAAAGATCAAGTTATGCTTGATTAACTTTTTTATCTTTTCTTGGCATAAAATTGCATTTTCTTTATGTTAATATATAACCTAGATAACTGCATGTGAACATCAAGGGAGTTTGATTACTAGTTTCGTGCTTTAGGGGGTTGTCAAAGCATCTAAATGGGTAAATGTTCACCTATCAGCTGGCTTCCTTTATTCAAAGATAAACCTTAATTTGGAAGAAGTTGGACTTTGATGTGTAAAGGAATACTTAGTACGCTATATTGAGCTTAGTCTATGAAGAAACTTGAAATTATACGATATAATTACTTTTTTTTTTTTTTGAATATTTCAAAACTTGATTCAATTGAATGATTTATATTATATTAAATTATTGGTATATAATATAATTATTTTGGTAGACAATCTAAACCCAAATCATGAAAATAGCTTTTCATAAAATCTAATTTCATTTGATCTCCTTGAGATAAAATAAAAGTCATTAAAAAAAGTCAATATAATCCAACTAAAAGTTCAAAATAGGGTTAACTAGTAATCTTCAAATTGCTATCATATTAGCATGCAATAATGATGCAAACTTACATCATTTCTTTTTGAATTAAAGAACAAACTACAAATATAAAGTAGAAGCTGTAAGTCATTTTTCACTTTAACCCTAAGATGGCAAGAAATTTCCAAAGCAAGTTCAAATCAAAGCCCTCACAATTAGGTCCCACTAGCTATCAAATGTTGCCAGTAGAAAATGGCTTCCCTTCTAGGGATTTTCTCAAATTTTGGTTGCTGCTTTAAGTTATGTCTTTTTGTCACATCTTTCACTTTTTAACTTGGACTTTTCTGGTTCCAATTGTAGAAAAAGGGTTATTACGAATCTTTAGGTAACTTTCAGTGTAATCTTTATATAGTACCCAAAAAATCAGTGGTCATGAAACTTATTTTAATCTTTTTACGGTCTATTATTTGGTTGAAAATTGACAGAAAATATTATTAATCCAAGTAAATGAAATGGTAGAATGTGAATGGTAAGTGAATGGTAGTTGGAGAAGTGAGTAGTCCCCATGTGTTAGAAAGAAATGTTTGACAAATGAGTAGTACTACATTGGACCATTTAAAGAGGCAAAGCCATTGATGGCCTGCACTTTAATCTCTTAGATGCATCCCATAATGGTTTCTGATCAATCAATTTCAAGAAAATGAAGCTACAAAATGGTCAGGTGAAACCTACCATAACAGAAAGAGTATTAAGGTAGGGCATGGACTTGTTTTCTTTTGGCATGGACCATTGGAAAATGTGGGGTCCTTTTTGCAGTTTACCTATCATATTTATTTTCACGTTGAAAGCTCATTGTCAAATGTTTAAATGAAAGGGGAAAATAATTAGCTAATGCTTGTTGTAGGGACCTTTCAACTACTTATATTAAGAAGGATGCATATGAAATTTGGTAAATTGTAACTTATTTAGGAATAATTTCTAACATTAACTTGATTGGCCAATAAATTTTTTTTTCTTTTAGGAATCAAGAGAAAATTATCTATAAGGACTGATTTAAGATGTAAGATACACTTGAATTTAATAGAAGACCTCTGTAAGGTCCTAAGGGTTCGATCTATGGAAAAAAAAAAATTATATAGAGAGCTTATACGAACTTTCAAAATAAAATCAGTCTCATATCCAAAAAAGTGTGGAGATAATAAAAAATTCGATAAGAAGAGAGGAAGAGATAGAATTGCTAAAGATTGAGGTAATTCAATCAACTTGAAAAGTATTTTGTTATGATTTAAATAATTTAATTATTTCATTAATTATCATTTAAAAACCTTAAATCACAAATAAAGTGGATAAAGGAAGTATTTATGATAAAATAATTTATTAATATGTTATTTATTTTGGTATGCAAAAGATAATTTGAAAAGACACGTTTCTTTGTATTAAAGAAAAAATTAAATATTATCAATAAGATTTTAATTGAAGTGGATAGCGATTTTAAAAAGCGCACTTTATTGGAAAAGTAAAAAATTTGTACGCTGTATGGCTCAAGGGGATTAAACCTCCTGAAAATAAAAAAAAAAATACATAAATTTGATTTTCGAGGTAGATTAAACTTTCTGGTTATAAAAAAAAAAAAAAAAAAAAAAAAAAAAAAAAAAAGACTCAAATGTACTTTTTGTTAAAAAAACATTCATTATATGCTTCTATTTTTCAAAAAATAATTGAAATGAAGGAATCGGAATATTATGTTTCTCAATTTTCATGTATATAGTGAGACAAGATTTTGATCACTGGATTATTAATATACTATTGATTTCTGACAATATCCTTACCTAATTTCTACAGAAAACTGCAGCCTTGGCCTTCTACAATGGATTCATTAAAACAAAAAGGTCCATACTTGAGCTATATTACAAGTCCTCATAAAGTCTCTTCTTGGAAAAAGCTAGACTGGAATAATATGGAAAAGTAAAATCAGAGCATTGCAGTTTGGCTAACGGTGATCCAAGATCGTTACACTTGAATTGATAAATATAATCTTTGGTGATTTTGGATGGATAAACGAGAGGGAAAAGGAATTGATTTTGGAGGGAATTTAGGTCATTGAATGCTCTCTTTGCCACAATCAAATGGTTGGCAACCGATTTGTCCTCCAACCAAATTCAATGCCCATGAGTTGTGTGCATGTTGTTATCAATTGAGCCAATAAAATTGAATTGAGGCTATGATGGGAGAGGAGGGTCTAGCGTTTATGCATGGCATGTTGCCGCATTTTGGCGCCATAATCGAGTGATTCAGAAAACAAAGGAATTGATTGAATACAGCACTCACAAGTTCATTATACTTCATAAATCAAATCAAAAAAACATATGAAATTTGGATATATCTATAGTGTGATTAACAGATAAACATCATACACCCAAAAATCAAACTAAAGATAAGGTGGCAAAGTAAAGAGATATACGAGTTAATTTTGGTTGTGCACTTTAGTTTTTGAAGTCATCTTTTGGGAAAAGCAATGGTTGCACTTTGCATAACCAATCTTCATATCACTTGTGGAAATATGAATTGACCACACCCTAATTCAGCAATAAATTGGAAGGGATAAGGCAAAGCTAGTCCTAATAAAAAATACCCATTTTCATATCAGCATATGTGGTCCAATTTATTATGGTTCTGCTTAATAGTGTGATGAGTTAGCATCAACTTAGTGTTATGGAACTTCAAAAAAAGAAAAAAAAACACCATTTATATTGCTTTATCATATATTCAATTGTTTTAAAGTTTTTAAAAGAATGTTTAGTAATCAGTCTTGACATGACTCATAAGAAAATGAAGAAAGAATGAATTCTGATATTAGAAACTCAAAAAGAGTTTAAATTCAATCTTAAAACCTAAATGCTAAAGCTAAATGAACTAGTTGGTTATAAAAAAAAAAAATTTGAAATTTTCACATAGACAATGTGAAATAAAGAAATCAAATCAAGATGAATTTTATTTTACATATTCCATATCCTTTTTTCTAAGTATAACAAAACTAATTAATAGTATCCTTCAAATTTGATTATTTAAGTAGAATAATTTCTTTTTCAAAATAATATATATAAAGACAAATGTCAAAATTGATGGTCCTTATTAATTTATCAATTAGTAACTAGCCACCCACTCATATTTGAATGGAATTAAGTTTGCAAACTTGTTCCAATAAAAAAAAAGTTTGCAAACTTGTTAAACTAGAGAATGTAAATATTTTGATTGGATGATGGTGACAAAGCAATCAAAACTTGATTAGGTGCAATATATGGTAACACATGGGCTAATTAAGGCTCATTGGAAGGTGATTTCCACTAGTGACCAAGTCTTTCAAAATTGAGAGATTTATCATTTTGTTGGTTAATTAATTGAAAGTGCAAGTCAACATCTTCTTCAAAGGCATTGATGAAGCAAAATAAATTATTGGGTGTCCAATCCAAGCTATAGTACCAACAAAGTTGTCAAGTTTGTTTTTCTTAGTTAGTTATGCTTCTATAATATAGACAAAGTTGTGGGGTTTGTTTTGAATAATTTTGCTTGGTTCTTCCTCAATATCCAATAAGAATTTTTAATTTTTTACAGCAGTGATTATTGAATTTAAAGCAATATTTTCATTGGTTATGACATTAGGGTTTTATATATTTAATTATATTGTAGATAATTCCCTTAAAATTAATATTTTAGTTAATTGCTTCAAAATTTTAATTTTAATTTTTAACTATTGATAAATTTGTTATTAAAATTTGTATTCCAATATGTAATGTATTTCAATATAGCAAAACACGTATCTAATTTTAATTTGTTATTAAAAATAAAATTTATCAAATAAATTCTAGATCTATGTATGTTTAGCACAAATCAATTTAGTTCATGTTTTTGTTTATTTTTCTAGTATTTTCTTGTGGACTATCTCCATTTTGGGTACAATTTGTGATCTTTCCATTTTATATGAAGTATTTGGTTTATTTTTTTGTATTTTGTTGTCTTTTATTCAGACAAACGTTCAATTTGTGAAGAATTTATTAAATATATAATGATCTTGTATTTTGGAACATGGTAGTGCGTTATGTTCCTCCATTGAATTTATTAGTTTTAAATATTATGTTCGTCATAAATATCTAGTTTATGAATAATCAAGCATGTATATAAAATTCAGAAAGTTTGTCTAGCCAATCACTTTAAAAGTCTATCAGTTTTTTTATGTTTACTTTTCAATTTTTTATTAAGACTTTTTTTATTAGATCAACGAGCTCTACTATATTATTTTAGTTATGACAATTTTATTATATGTCTGATATTCAAGAGAAGGGTGCTCTTCTCGTTCCGCTATTTATATTGATTTGAAATGATAAATGAAATCCTAATATTTTATATTTAAAAAAAGAGAGACAAAACTTGTGAATTAAGTGCATAAGCTTTCAAATATTAAATGATTAAACATTGCACACCAACACCATCATAGCTATTAGCATCAAAATTTCAAGCCAACAATTAAACCACAAAAAAGCAACCAATCTCTAATCTAATACTCCCTTTTTTGAACATCTTTATATTCAAATTGCCACTTGAGCAATCTAAGATTCGCATCAATAGTTTCCCTTGAAGTCCAATTTTATAAACTTCTTCACAAAATTACCCTCCTATATATAATACACAAATAATACCCTAAAGCACCGACCTTGTGATAGGGTTTATAGAAGAACAATGAGACAATGGCAGGTGCCTTTTGTTGACTGAAGCCCTAAAATTATGGGTATTAAATTTGAGTTGCATTGTCTTGTTGTTTTAGTGGTTACACGTAAGATTTAATTTTACCCACAAGATTCTAGTTGTTGATTTGTAAAGATCCACATTGCTAACAAGTAATTATTTGTATATATTTAATTAATTATGGGTGATTCATCTTTTGATTAGCAATCCATCTAATAGATACTAACTAAAATTACAATTCTAAAATTCTAAGTGGTGAAAGGTTTGAGTTTTACATTTAAAGATTCATTTCTTTTTTTTTTTTTTAATTTCAATTTCAAAATGAACCCAACAAGTTTTAAGTGTTACAAGTTATATTGGAAAAAGAAGGTATTTTAAAGATTCATTCTTTTTTTGTTTAATTTTAATTTCAATTTCAAAATGAACCCAACAAGTTTTAATGTTACAAGTTATATGGAAAAAGAAAGGGTATTATATAATATATATATATAATATACTATATATATATATATACTGCCAACAGTAAAGGGAAGTGGTTTAAAAAAAAATAATAATGTGTGATTTAACGTCACTAGAAACATAAAGTTACTTAATTGCACATATGATATTTAATGCGAGGATGTTATTTTTTTGGTTATATATATATGCAAACAAGTAAAGGGAAGTGGTTAAAAAAATAATAATGATAAAAACCTCACTAGAAACATAAGTAACTTAATTGCAACATATGATATTTAATGGAGGATGTTATTTTTTGGTAAAATGCATACTTAAATCTTTAAACTTATCGAATTGAGGAAGAGAATTCGAACTTAAATCTATAGTCAGGTCGTAATTGCACTCACCATTAGACTATACCTTAATATGCAAACATGGTTAATGTTTTAATCCTCAGTTAAATAAAAACAAATTCTATTTAATTTAATTTAGATAGATTATTATACTACTCGATTTGAAATTTAATTACTACAATTCAAAACAGAACTAATTCGATTTAATTTAATATAATCAATTGAATAGTCACACCTAATAATAAGTCCAAAATCAAACTAGAGAAAAATGAGTAATTTCCCAATCAAGTTAAGTAAGAGATTGATTGGTATGCATGTGATTGGTCCCACTCTGAGTGTAGACAGTAAGTTGACTCGAAAGCCAACCAACAAACTATCAAAGGGTTAGTTGGAGTTTCTGCAATCATATATGTCTTACCTTCCACACATTACGAAATAAAAATTAGAATGAAATGATGTCGTATTTATTATTATTATTTTTTTCAATGTTTTCTTCTGATTCTTTCTACTAGGAAATAAAATGATGTCGTGTTTCTTTTTTCTTATCTTGTTCATACACAAATATAGTAGAAGTCAATTGGTCATTTGTTGGAATTCTAATTTAATGCCATTAGGGAAAACATTAAGCCATACATTATGGGAAGCTTCATTGAGTGGAAGAAAGTCAGGACTTAATTTCTTCTAATGTATAATACTACAAGAATTTCAGCAATTACTAATAAATTATATTAGAAAATACATAACTATCAATGGATATTTTTGGACCCCCATTTATAATACCACCTTTTATATATTATTATTTCAAAGAAATGCCCACCTTCTCCTCTTAAAAAAGAAATAATTGAAGCTCATGCAAACAAGTACAAACCTCCACTCCCACCTACATAAATAAATAAATACTAGTACTTTTTATATTATAGAAATAGAAATGAAATTAAGAACAAAGTCATAATGGAAATGAATATGTATATAATAATAATAATAATAATAATAATAAAATATTAGTAATTTTTTAAATAGTATTTCACATAACAATTAGAGGCAAAACTATGTCTTCATTTGGTAGCCACTAAAAATTACTTGCTTTGTTCCATAATTTTGTTCTGATTTAATTAGATTGAAAAAATTTAATTAATATAGTTAAACTATAATTTTTGATTTATTTTTTTCCTAATATAATCTTATATTAATAATATAAAGATTAAATGATCCATGTATTATATTTAACAAAAAAGCATATTAAATAAGAGTAAAATAATAAAATTCAAATGTGTTCACCCTGAAAAAGGAAAAATGACAACAATTTGATACGGATGAAAAAGAAAAGTAGGATAAAAATTAAGGGACGGAGGAAATATATTTCATACAACACTGTAAATTCGTTCTTATAGGGAATATACAACTTCTCAATTTTTTTTAAAATGCATTTTATTTATTTTTTTAATTGTTAAATACTATATATAAAGGTTAGGCCAAACATCATTAGCAAATTTCAACATTTAAAAGTCCTGCCGTAAAAATTCAAAAGTATAAAAGTAATCTTTATACGAACAAGAGAAATTATCTTATTTAAAATAACATTTTTAGAATTGTACAACTATGAGTTCGAATTTTAATGAGTATTTGATTAATAAACACAAATAAAAGAAAAAAGAAAAAGAAAAAAGAATGTGCCTGCTTCTATAATACTTAATCTCTCCGTTCATCATAAATTAAAAAGGAAAACAAAAATCATCTCTTAAAATTGAATCAAAAACCTCCTTAATTAAGATTAACTTACCTGATAATATGTACATATAATTAATTAAATTTAGTTAGAAAAAGGGAGAAATAGTCAATTCTAAAAATCCCGAGTGAGTGAAATAAATAAACACTTCCAAAGGAAAATAAATAAATAAATAAAATGTGAAATAATGTACAGAAGATCCGACTTGAAAAAAGAAAAAAAATCCCAAGTCAACTCAAGGCCCAGCTGGAGCAAGACTAAGATGTAAGTCCAAGCCCAATGCTTCATCAAAAGTAGGGCCACCATCCCCTTTCGAAAACCTACTCAACGACGTCGTTCCATCTACCCGCCCACTATGCGGCCTGCTCTGTACTTGTGGCAGCCCAGAAAAACTGATATCCCCTACCCCGCCACTATATGGCAACCCAACTACGCCTCTCCCACTAAACCCACTACCCCCACCACCGCCACCACTAACACCGCAGCCGACACCGACACCACCACCGCCACCTACACTAGGAAATACACATCCATGGGAGACAAAAGGAGCTGCCGGCCTCGGCAAGTAAACCCAAGAAGGCGCTGCCGCCGGGACGACAACCGGACCAGTCGGAGCTAAAAGATGAGGCGGCGGAGCAAAGGCGGAGATCATAGGATTTCTACCGAAAGAAACTGCAGCTGCAGCAGCGTTTCGAGTTGCTTGCATTTGAGCTCGTTTGAGTTGCTGTCTTTCTTTCTTATGTGCGTTTTGATGCCCACCAAGTGCTTGTGAATTTGCGAATTCTCTGCAACAGTATTGACACTCGTACTTTCTACTATCACCTGAAGAATTAGCAGCAGAAGCAGAAGAAACAGCTACTGTTGTATCTGGAGAATTAGAAGAACAAGTCTTGATTGAGTCAGCGGTAAGTTCTTCATCTTCTGAAACACTAAAACCAAATAGTTTTAAGCGTGTGGTGGTAGAGGTTGGTTTTGTTTGATAATCTAGCTCTTCCATTTTAGATATAGGCTAAGATGAAGTTGCTTTCTTTAGAGAAAGAGAGAGAAAGAGAAATAGAGAAACAGATAGAGATGTGGCAAATGAAATAAGGGTGTAATGGAAGATGTTGCATGAGTGGGGTATATATACAGGATAAATAACAAAAGTTTCAAAAAAATGGGATACAGTAGAGAGAGAGAGAGAGGGGGAGAGAGAGAGAGAGAGAGATGGTTGCGGACATCCCAAGGAGTAGAAAGAAAGAAAAGAAAGTGTGTGTGTGATGGTATTTGGGAACACGACCCAAGAACACTCGGGGACCCAAAGGGATTGAACTTGTCTTTGCTTATTACTTATTTTGTTCTTTTTAGTTCTCTCCTTCCCTTCACTTTGCATATTAGAATTATAAATAAAAGAAAACAAAAGACTTTCTATTGCTTCATGATTGTATTAATTAATATAGTAATTTTGAATGGATATATGATATAGGGTATGTATAGTTTATAGTTTATAGTCTTGTCCTTTGTTTATTAGGTTAGCCAATAGGAGATTAAGAATGTGATGCATGTGATGACCATGGTAACATAATACACTTGAATATTGAGCTTCTCCTTCTTCCTTGTTCTTCGTTTTCTTTAAAGTATATAGACCAAAAATCAGTCTAAAAGTTGACAATCAAGTGTGTTTTGATTGGTCTTTTCATTCAAGTGAGGGGTTTGAGGTCTCAAGTTCGAATTCTCTCTGCAAGTACTTCACCAATTTGGTGATTACAAGGGAGAACTGTTTCCTGTTGTGTAGTCTATAATATTATTTCTGCTCATTAAACTTTTAAATAAATCAAAAAATTAGTACAATGAGAATCCATTTGTTGACCATCTCTTACTTGTGTATATGTGCATAATTTTCTCCCCCAAAACCCATCAACTAAAGACTTTACCTTTCTTTTCTCCAACAAGGGCAAAGACTTACAATATAACTAGACCACATGCACCATAGAACAAAGACCACATTGATTATTTTGTACCAAGCACTAAACCAATTAAGTTAAACACTTTTGATTAATTATATGGGCCACTTGCTTTCACTTCAGTAGTGATGATGATGAAAAGTAATGCCAAGATAGCCAATTAGAACTTGACAAATTAGTTTCATCAACTAAAAAGAGACTTTTGATGTACAAAAATACAAATACAAGCTCCTAACCACTTTGTACGTGACACGTACCTTACTACTATAATGCTCATGCCAGCCTTTGTCCATAACATTGATATTTTAATTTTAATTATTAATTAATTAATTAATTAATTTTGTACATTATATTATAATTGATTATTATTTGTTTCTTTTATTAAACTATATCATTGAGGTTGAAACGGAAAATGAATGAAGTGGAACGAGCCCCAATGAAACGCCGTGAAGCCCATGTCTGTGCTTGCTGACTCGACTGCTAAAGAATTGCCCAAGCCTCACATTACGCATTTCTCTCTATTTCTGTTTCACTAACAAAATTATTATATTATTGTTATTATTTTTATTTCCTTATTGTTTGGACTGTACAGAAAATTCCATTTGTTTAAGGTATGGCTGCAGGACACGTTACTACAATACAATCATTTAATCCAAAAATACACAAGTAAAGCCTTCTGACAAGCATTTTTTTTTAATTTTAATTGTACCAAAATTATACTACATTATATTATTTCTATCAAGGTCTTCTAGATGCTAATCTAATCTAACCTAAGTTAATATTCAAGTTTAATGTTATATATACTGAAATTTCTAATTTAATAATTTTTCCTTTTGTGTTGATAGGAACATTTCTATTAAATTGCCAAACAGATATGATCTGGATGATATTTTTACTAATATGAAAAGTAAGAGATTTTTACTATGCGTGTGTCCGTAATCTTGCTTGTATTTTAAATTCACGATATATTATCACCTTGCCTATCCGCTTGCTCTGGCATGTGAGAATTTTTAAAATTAATATTTTAATAATTACTAGAAAAACAGTATCATGATTGTTGTAACTAGGAGAGACAGAAATAGTGTTACTAACTTTTGGTTGTTGCCCTATAAACATTTAATGGATTAATTTCCAGTTTTAGCCTCTGAACCTGAAGAGCCGACACGAGCAGCTCAACTGGACAACTAACTACCGGTGTTTTAATCATAAAAAAAGTCAAAAGAGGGAAGCATGCATGCAAAACATAAACATAAGCTCTCAACTGCATTTATGATCTAACACCGTTAAGTCCCACATTAACCACTTCCCTCTGATGGCCCCTCTTGTCTCCATCGGATTTATCTCCCGTATCTACAATAGATACGTATGTTTCACATGATACAATTTGCTTATTATTACTACTATTTAATAAAATAAATTTTCAAAAAAATAAATTATAAATTAATAAATTATAAACAAAAAAAAACATAAAATAGGCCGACAATTAAAAACCAATAAATTTTAGTTTAATTATATTTATTTTTATATTTACAGTGAGGAATACTTTTTTGTCGGTATTTAACTTGTAAAGTCAACATTATACGCTTAGAGATATGCAAACTGTTAGTTCAGCCAAAATCTAATTGGACTTATTAAAATAAAAAATAATATTTTGATTTTTTTAAATTTGAACTGAACAAAATAGATTATTTACATAATTGAATCAAATTGTATTGAACTAGTTCGGTTAGGTTTAATTTGATCTTTTAATTCTAAGATCATGTTTAGGCTTAATTCAATTTGATTTTAATTTTTTTTATCTTTTTGATTTTATAAATTGAAAACTGAAATAAATCCAAAAATTAAAATTTACTTATCTAAATAGAACACTTGAAAAATCCAACCGAACAAAATCAGTTAGTTATCAGTTTTTTTATTCAACCGGTTTCTGCTCATTACAGTCTTGCATGCCCCCGACCGGTTTCTAATCGATAATCCAACTATTGGGATATATAGAACAAGTTTTTTTTGTTTAGTTATTACGTATAACTAACCGAATTTATTTTTAAATTTAAAATAATTAATTTAATTTGAAATAATGAAATTATACCGATTTAATTTTTAATGTAAAACAAAATCAAATTAATTTGATTTGATTAATCATGCGCTCACCCCTAGCTGTGTGTTAACTTGTTTGAAAGAGTATGAAAAAAATGTTGATCAGGTTCAGGTGTTTACAACTATGAGAAAGGGCCTACCATTACGTGTAGATGAAAAATTGTTTAGGATGTTTGCGTGATTGACGTTGAAATCTATATTATATATTCTTTCTTTCTTTTTTAGAGATCTCTCCGAATCTTACTAACTACATAAAAGGAGAGAGATGACTTGCTTCCTATATATTATATTTATGGATTATTATTATTATTATAAAGTATATTCAGAACTTTAAAATACATCATAATGAATATTTTTATTTTTCTCCTTTAGAAAAATAATTATGATATTTTTAATATTTGCTTCCATTTTGCTATTCAGTTCTGCCATCTGAAAAGGAGTTATTCACCTTAAATTGAGAAGAAAAAGATTTAAAATCACCCTTTTATATGTAATCATTTAAAGTAGAGGAAAATATATCAATTTTTCTAAATTATGTTATAATTAATATTTCTGTCTCTTTATTTTTGAGAAATAATTAGTATGTTTTAATTAAAATGAAAATTTTAGATGGAATGATGCGATCTCGAGAAAGAAGTAAAAGTTAGAGATATTATAGTAATTTCTAAAAAATAAAGTGATGAAAGTATTAATTAAAACAATTTAGGGAACCTAATGAATTTTAATATTATTAATTTATAATTAGAAATATTCTGAGTGAGTCTAAATTGATTCTACTACATTTAAAAATATTATTTTTATTATTTAATAATTTATTTGAATATCATTTCATTCCAATATGAAAATATCATAAAATAAAATTTACAAACATTGTTTTTATTTCTAAATGACATGAAGCTCTGATTGGTAGTGAGTCCATTTAAGAAGGCTCAATTAATAATAATATTAATTATGTATGTTTGTATCTTTTGTTATTAGTTTATTATTATTTATTATTGAAAAGGTATACATATATAGCTGAAGATACAAAGCATGGACCCACCATGTCTTAACTTTCTTTCTTTCTTTCTTATGTGTGTTCTATTCAAAGGCTTTCTTTCACTTAAGTCAAATTTTCCCATATAAGAAAAACCTTATCAACAATATCCTTTATTACTTGAAAGCTTATGCTTTTTTCGACCGTTGGATTTGATAATTAATCATCATTACAACATAACCAGGTGCCAATAACTTTTAATTAATCCAAATGACAAATATAATAATAGTAATAATAACATTGCTATATATATATATATATATATACACGCGAAGACTTTTATCATAAAATTTTAGATCAATTAAATTTGTGAAAATTCATTTGAAATTTCTACATTTTTTTGACAAAATTTAATTATATTCACAACCATATAATTGGATACGTAGAATTAAATTCTTTATTTTTTATATAAACACAAAAATTTGGTGGTATATATATAATTTTATTGTGTAGAGTACGTAGGTATTAGATGGGATGGTTGTGATGACCATGAGTGATGAGTTATGATCATGAATCATTTTACAAGTGGGGTTCATATTATATTTTTTAAGCCACCTCCCTAACATGGGGTTCTTAATTTAAAAAAAAAAAAAAAAAAATTGCAAGATGCTTGAAATAATGATGCACGTAGATTTAGGACTTAGATTAGGATCTCCATTAGTTTAGAAAATTTGTTCATTACTAAAACCTAACCAACCCTTTTGCTTTATTATGTTGGATCCAATGATCTTTTACTTTAGGTCTTTTTGTTTTGGTTTTGCAATTTGCACTTTGGAAGGTTGAGAGAGAGAGAGAGGTGGGGCCACCATGGAGCTGAAGGAGTTGGTCTCACTCAGAAGGAAATAGCAGTGAAGTGACCTTCTCATCTCAACTAAATATGTGAGTATTGTCTAGTCATGCTGCTCACTAAGGTTAAAGACTTTACTTATATATATATATATATATATAAACATGGTTGTTTGGGACCAGTTACGTCCAAGTAACTAAATCAAAGCTTGTACTACCCGAATCCCTGGCTTCACTTCATCTTTGAATTGTCTCCCATCACTAAACCCTAATCATAAGTCAGAAAGACTACCGGACTTTCAGGTTCAAATTAAAGTTTTTTTTATTTATTAAATATTATAAATTAACTTTTTGTACACGAAATATGGAATGCAAGGGATCTCTTATCCTTAATTAAAGATTTCAAGTTCAAACTCGAAATATTTTTAAATATTCAAGAATGAGCATTTGGCTTTTTTTATGGATTTATTGGGCACAAATTTGGATTAGCCGGATTAATAGGATTCATATACTGGATGGTAAAAATAAAAAAAAAAATATTGTGAGTTAAAAGAAAATAATTGAATTATATAACATGGTTAAATTAAAGAAAATATTTCTATATCAAGTCAACCGTAGAGTTACAATAATTGAGTAACTGTCTTTTAATATAAAAGTCAAGAACTTAAATTTTTTTTACAGTGTTTATACTTTGGAAATTAATTATTTGAGACATTTAATTCATTGTTTTAATGTAATAATAATTATTGAAGTTAATTACAAAATTTTGAAATAATGATCAATCATGATAATCAATATATCTCTTTTATAATAAAAAATTTACAAGTAGTAGAATTACTCCTCCTATCCCAGAAGTTGAAGGTTCCATGAACCTTGGTATAATAAAAGGAAAAGGGAGAAAAAGCCAACGTGACAAAAGGCTATTACTATTAAGTACATTTAGGTATGTCCCTTAAAAAACAATGGAAGATAAATACATACAAGGATCCAGTGAGAGAGGTATAACTTGTTAGAGGGTGGGTGGACATAGGCACAAGGATTTCTCCACTAATGGAGGAGAGATACATGTGAAGCTTCATGTAATGTAACTGGTCTATCTATCACTATATTTGAACAAAAAACTTTGGTAGGACCCATTCACTAAATGGAGCCACATGAGTGAGGGGGGACATTACTTGGACCCCACTTCTCCATGAAGAATTTTTTTATGGAGCTCTTGCTCTTAGGACTTAGGTTAGGGTTAGGGTTAGGGTGGGAGAAAAAAAAAGAATTATCCAATCCTACTTCCACAATCTTGTTTCCTCACTTCATGAACAACTGTCCTCTTAAAAATGGTTATGAAATTTATTTTAAAATTTTAAAATTTTAAAATAATTTTTTTTTTCTAATGGGTTTCCAACATTGTAATATAAAAACACTTTTAGGAGGCTTAATCATGTTTTACTTTGTTGTTGATTGAAGTGATACCAATATTATCATTTAAGATCACCCAAATCCCAAATATGGCCCACCAAGTTGTGCTTATCAAGGAAAATTAACCAATCAAAATCTATAATTAAAAGAAAAAAAAATTTTTTTTCTTTAAGAGACATGATCCTATCATACTACAAACTCCATTAACTTTCTAATCATCTTTTGTTTCTTTTTGCAACCATTACTTTTGGAAGGATCCAAAAAGATAGCCCCAATGAGACTTAGTTTTCAAATTGGAAATCCCTTTTATGGATATGTTCAAAGCTTTTTTTTAACAATCCAAACACTGTGGGTGTGACTCAATAAGCTCCTTCCATGTACTCCAACTCATACTACCTACTTCTCTAATTACTTATTAATTTTTTCTTAATTATAATTAATATTGAATTAGAGGGACGTTGAGTGGAGTTAGCTTTAAGTCATGTGAGGTGACTCTTTCCTCTTTTTTTACTTTTAATAAAATCAATTAATTAATCATTATATTATATACACATGATGTTAAGCCTAGATTACAGTCTACTATGGCTACGTTTAATTATTTTTTTTTCTTTTAAAAGTAAATGATTGCTATGAACTCCATCAAGCTTTTTCTTTTCTTTTTTTCTTTTTTTTTTTTGGTTTTTCTTCTAAAACAAACAAAAAATAAAAAATAAAAAAAATCTACACTAACTATAGGTCCGTGACTTAAATGGGTTTTGGACATAGGGAACTTTGGTCAATTAATGAGACAAAATTAATGTGCTTTGGTTGCTAATAAAGTGAGACACTTAGACGGCTATACAACACACCACATAACATATAACCCACAGGAATGTATTAGGGGGACATGTGCACATGACATGACAAATTTTACTATGGGAAAAAATATATTTTAAATTCCTCTTGGAATCATGGGATTCTACTATTTCAATTTCTCTTATATATTATTATATCTGTTTTGTAATATTTATCACAATTGAAATTTTATATTTTTTAAAAAATTATTAAATTTATTTAAGCTACAATAAATTATTGAGTAAATTCACTGTATTATCCTTAATTTAATACTAATTCTCTGAGAAAACCATTAAATTGAAGTAATAATTATTTATCATATACAAAAGATAAACACGGCAAAAAAATATATATTACTCTTTCAAAAGGTAAATAAGTATTTTGAAACAGACTATTTTCTTAAATGTGATAAATATTATGGAACAGAAGTAACATTAGGGTTAGACGGTTTCTTGCGACTTAGTTGCTAGTCATTGGCAGCCTATTATCTCCTTTGTCCACTTGACAAATGAGCACATACAAGAAAAATTCCTTTGCTCACATTATTTAGCCATTGTATATCTTTGATGTATTCTAAATATACTTTGGTCTTGCATGGAGGAAGCAAGAAAAATTATGTACTCCTCTATTTCTTTCAGAAAAAAATAAATAGAGACCTGCTTAAAAGATAGGATAGGACTGGGCATCTACCCTTAACAAGGACTATATATATAATATAATATATAAATAATATAATTATATATATATAGATGGATAGTTGCATGTGGGACTTGGTCTTAGAATAAGGGCTCAAGCATTTGTTTAATTACATGAATTTTAATGATAAATAACCCTTTATTCTGGAAGAATTTGTCTGTTGGAAAAATCCAAGTAGATGCAAAGGGGGGGTCTAACCATAACTACAATTAATTGATTATTTATTTAATTTAACACATAGGTCAAGGCAAGTTGTTTGATTAAAAGAAATTAGTTCAAGATTTGTGTGACTAAGAACATTAAGTCATCCTTAATTTAATACTTGCCTTAATAGATAATCTAAGATTGTGTGTTTTTGTGTATTAGTAAAACCCACGATTGCAAGTTAATATATATTTATTGGCATTGTCTCCTATAAGTGTTTAAACCATTCTGTTGGGTAATCAAGGTAGCAATACCGGGTGATAGAAGGAAAGAATATATATTATGTATATGTACTATAATTATAATCTGCCAAAGGGTTATTTCATATATATATTATATATATAAATAATATAATATAAATATGACAAAAAAAAAAAAATGCCTGATTTGCATAGGAATGACAAATTAGGCATCGATGTATTATAAATTTACGAAGAGAAGAGATCATGAATTGGAGCCCAAAAAAGGAGTCTGAAAAAGTTCTAAAAACTCACATTTGGAAGGAGGAATATTATAATGGGTTGTTCAAATAATTGTAATAGGAGGAAACATATAAATAAATATTAAACTTGGAACATAATTGAGGTAGTTGAACATCTAGTCACTTGTCATTATATACTAAATCTCTACTTAAACTAAGCAAGTTGTTTAATACAATATATTACGACTTAAGTTGAATACAAAAATACTTTTCAAGTACAAATGCCAGCTAGGTCATCACTCTGTATATTGGTAAAATAGGTTCTCAAAGCTAAAAAGAGGGAAAACTAATAAAATGCACTAACTAAAAGATCCCAGTTGAAATTAGTTGACTAAAAAATAGCAACTAAGATTTAGCAAGTGCAAAGTTGTTTTCAAAGCCTAAAAAACTAGAAAGCAATCGCACTTTCTTCTAGCAAGAGGTCTCTTGACAAGCACGATCTCTGCATATTTGATCAAACACTACAATCTACCAAATATGCTTTAAATTCAGCAAAAGATATGGCACATGTCAACATAATCTATATCTAAAGTTAATCTTGGAAACACAATTATAATAATAAAATAAAATAAATAAAAAAAAACCCAATAAGAACAATAGTCCATAGAAACAATATTAAACATTTCATTCAAATAGCAAAAAACCTGAGATTCAACATAAAAGGGATGAGCAGAAAGTCAAGTCTGGCCAAGAATTTCTTACAACATAAAAAGAAATGAAGGAATTATTTAAGAAGAGTATTACAACAAATGTTCGAATTTGCTAACTGAGCTAAGAGAACAAGAAAAGTAACTTTATGAAAAAAAATGAATTGAAATTATACACACACGTACCTTGAAATCCTGAAACTTCTTATAGAACCATATTGTAACATGCCACAAAAAACCCACCTCAGGACAAAACCCTAATGAGGAGAAAAAATAAAAAGAAAACAAATAATACAAAACAAACTTTTGCATGCAATAAATTGGTGGCCCTAATATAAAATGCGACGATAGCTATCCTTTCAAACTTCTCAGATAATACAAAATCACCTATAAAACCTTTTTAACCGAGCTTTTTATCAGATCCTTTAAGGTTCAAATTGAACCATTTCTTTTTGGCTGATCTATCTTTTCCCTCGCTTCCCTCTTCCCCTGGACTTTCAGCTTTTGAATCTTCACCAAGAACTTTGCTCGAACTTCCATTGCTTAAATTACTAAGTGTCCTAGTCACAGTGAAGGAAGCATGTATGCTATCCCTCTGTTTCAGCAGCTCATCCACCTAAGCCAAACAACAAACAAAATGGCAAAGTTGCTAAAAATAAACAAGAATTCACAGACTAAAATCTAGTATCAACTAGTCTACTTAAGACATGTTTAGCATTGCTATTGCTAATATCAGATTTTAGGCAAAAATTTAAAAGTAATATTATTGGCCTAGTGGATAAGGGTGTTTATAGGTTTAAAACTGATAGGAAAAAAAAATTCAGTTGAAACTTTTCACAAATTCAGCTTTAGGCCCATAGATATTATTCATCAGCCTTGAGAATTCTAAGTTTTTATCTAAAATATACTATTCACAACAGCAATGCCAAACTAGCCCTAAATATTCAACTGGAGACAATCCAGAAATAAGTACTAGCTGAAATATAAAATTTTTGAGTACAAGCTATTTTGGAACACTTTGGGATGGCAATGGATAGTAGGCTAGTCGCTAGCATCATATAACCCTTTTTGTAAATTGAGAGGCATGCTGCCACTGTAACCGAAATGACCTCATTCCTCTTGCAATCCACTCAGCTAAGAGGTATTTTAGGCGTGCTTTTAAAATTTATTTATTACATATAAGTGTATATATTCATGCAAGCATTCATGTTGCCATGTGGAATACTCAGGATATGTTGAAGACACAATAAAAACACCTGACAGGGAACATCAAGGTTTTGAAACATACTGATTGCTTTTCCTGGCTGTATTTGTTAGTTACTTCTTGAAAGCGCGCCAAAGCCTACAAACACCATAAATAAAGTTCATAAACATCTGTATTAACTCAATTGCCACATGAGCTACTCCTAGAAAAGTAAGAAATCTACCTTCCTGTATTCTGTCTCAAACTGGCGCAGCTCATTTCTTTTTCGTAAAATTTGAGCCTCAATCTCCTTGAGCTTTTCTGTGGTATCTTCATATGATTTTGCACAAAGTGCCTCTATTGTGTAGGTAGCAGTCTTGAAAAAATTATCCCCTGAAAAATTCAGCAAATGTCAGGCCAATTTGAATTCATCATGAAAGTAGTCAACATTAAGGGGCAAAATAGCCAGTTCTGACCATAAACAGCGAATATATGAGTGCCAGCTTTTAGTTCTGAAACCTCGCAAGGTTGAAGACCTTCCAATCTTTTAAAGAAAGCTGCATCAGGATCCTTGGCTATTGCTAACTGCACCGCCACATAGTAAATGATCAGTTCAACAGTGGGAAGAAGAAAAACATCCACCAAACAAATATGTGAAGAAAATGAGATGAGATGGGATTTCGTACAGCATTCACAGTTGAATCCATTCTGTACACTTGAAAATGTAAGAAATACATTCCTGCAGACGTCACCTTGCCAGTCTTCTCACTATCTTCCTGTATAGAGACAATAGTATATTAGTTTTGTGGCAATTTTGTGCATTAGTCAATTGCAAATGTGTCAATCTCTGACAGCCAAAAAAGTGACCAATGGTTTAAACACACCTAAATCAGCTCATGGGGAAAAAGTTTAAATATGCACTAAAGGTACCCATACAACAGCGGACTCCAGAAGCAAGAAGAAAATAACTCGTATAAATCAATGTAAACTGTTCAGTAACAAACTACACATGTGCCACTATCATACTAACAACTTGTCAGATTGAAAATCCAGGGAAATCTAAGACGTGATGATAAGAAGAAAAAGAGTACCTTTGAACAAAAAGAACCAGGAACCACTCATCAAAGTTTGGTATTTGAGAAAGTTTACATTATAATCTTACAAAGAGATGTGGAAGCAACATCCAATTGAAGCAACATTCTCATTATAATTTCATTTAAAATTCAAGTTTCATGAAAATCCGATTGAAGAAGGATTGCAATAACAAGGATGCTTGCATTAAAATAGCATATAAGAAAAATATAAAAGTAAACGCCACTTAAAGTTCTAGTGGCCCTAGACAAAGTGAAACCTGAGATTGGTTAGGAATGAGAGTTATATTGGACAATTTAAAACCATCAAGGAAAGATGATTATAGTTGGGAAGATAAATAACACTTCTTTTTACAAACAGATAAGAGATATTCTCCAGCCAGCTCTTGCACTCTCTGACAGCCCATTCTTCGAGTGAAGAGATCACTCCCTCATATTGGCCTGATGCATTTAGAAATATTATTCATATTCTTAGAGGTTTCCCAGCAGAACTGAATCCTGGTTGATAAGGAAGGGGAGCTCCCATCCTTGCCAACTGGACTAACGCTGATGCCTGATGGTAAAATAAATATCATTATTTGACATGTTGTCTATCCTTTTCTACAGATTGTCGTTCCATAGAGGTTTTTGCTCCTTTGGGAACATGTACAGCCACAAAGCATCCAAGCATCCATTTGATTTGAAATCCTTCAACACGAGAAGTTCCCGCATCCAAAATGATTCAATGTTCTCCACTATCTTGTTCCTTACTTGAAATTATCTGTGCTTCCCAACAATCAGAACACAGAAGAGGAAAGTAGCAACTAGGGTGACCAAGTGAGCTGCTTAAAGCGTAAAATTCGAACTATTGTAAGGAATAGCAGGGTTCTTCCAACTTCTGAAAACTCAGTCCCAGGTTCTCAATGTAAAGAATTTCCATTGAACTGAATGTATATCGAGGGTTACTCAGCAGCAACACGATTAAGATTATTAAACAAAATGATCACACATCAAGAAAGATCATTAGTATCTCTGTGACTGTTAGTTCAATGGATCTCATGCAAGGAGATCATCTCAAACACAAGTCGCACACTATCTTCTTAACAAAGGAACTAAGTTCATAGTGGGTTCAGGGAATGTTTAATCCATCCACGTGCGACTCCTGAAGACTTTCAGTTTAACTGCTCACACAACTGTAGCACGCTACTATAGTAATTTTATAATTCTTTCTTTCTTAGGTTACTAAGTATATCGATTATTTTGGCCAAAACCTGATTCTATCAGGATTTTATGTTCAAAGTCCTTTTTTTATTAGCACTTTTTGTTTAAGATCTAGTTCTATTACGATTTTATATGCGTAAAACCTTATTCTAGTTGGATTACATGCTACTAAAAAAAGCTGTAATGTTCTGTTTAGAGGAAGATTTCAGATTTTTGAGTAATAATAGAAACCAATTCTAGTTATTTAGAGGGTGTTTGGTACCATTTCTCATTCTGTTTTTTGGTTTCCGTTTTTCTAAAACAAGCATATATTTCTTGGAAATCAAGTTGAGAATGCAAAAACCACTTTTTGTAGTCTTTGTTTTGACAACCCATTTTACTGTTTTAAGACACCAAATAATAAAATAAATAATTTTAAACAATAAACCTTTCTTTCGAGTTTGAGAAACAAAAACAAAACACCAAAAACAACAATAATACTAGACAAGTTATTTTTCATGGTTGTGTAACCAGAAGATCCAGCCCTATTTAGGTTGAGGTTTTTGTCTCTGTCCTCTCTTTTCAATGTTCTCGTCCAATCTAACCTAATTTAGGATTAGGGTTATTTTACTACATCACAAAGATATGTAGACTGAAGTGAAGAGCTACGCCAACAACCTTACCTACCCCTGGGAGTTGGGACAAAGACAAAGCTACGCCTAGATGCAAGGCTAATTGAGGCCCTTGGGTAGGGGGGTGGCAATTATACGAGTATAAACCCAATATGAAGTTATTTGGAGGAAATCTAATTATATTTCAAATTTAACTCAAACTTCAGATCAATATTCATGCAAATACGACTTGCATCCAAATTCTTAGGACTGCCTGAATGCTACACCATGGTAACACAAGGTAAAATGCCATCCTTCAAGCACATACCTGAGTCGCCAACATAAATTATTTAGTGACCTATGGATTTTTTTTTAATTTTTATTGGTTTGATTACTAGTCTATAAGGTGTGTTTGTTTTATGACTGTGCCATCGGATTTGTTGATAAAGGGGGATAAACTACATTGAATCAACTAAATCAGTGCTAATATAATTCTACAAAACCTCTTCCCAGTGGATTGACTAGTCAAAACAAGTTCTCTTCATGTAGCTTTTTTTTTTCTCCATTATGATATTCTATCATAGGACTTTCCTGACTGGTTTTGTTCTTGTTCTGATCCCTAAGTCTGCGTTTAGTACAGAATAATGAATGGATTAGTAATATAATGGACCAGAATAGGGAATAGAATTTCTACTCCTGTGTTTAGTATGCACCATCGAATAGGAATTCAGATTATATTCATATGTTTAGTTGATAAGAATAACTGAGGTAGAATGGGGAATTAACAAAAAAAGCCAAAATACCCATATCAATAAATTTATTATAAATTAATTTATTCAATTAATTAATTTATTCAATAAAGTTCCTTTAATACAATCAATATTTGCAAATAATGAGAATGAAAATTATTTCTTAATCTATAATTCTGTTCTTAATAAATTTTCAAAAAAATATGTAATATTCATGCGAGTGAAACATTTTGCAAATTAATAAAGCAAATTAATTAATTTAATTTTCAAGGGTATATATGGTATTTCATAAAAAAAATCCAATAAACAATATTTAATTCAAGTGCGTATTTGATATTTTATAAAAAAATTCATTCAATAAACAACATTCAACGCAAGGGCATGCATGGTATTGTATAGCAAACTAAGGGCATTTATGTTATTATGACTATCAGTTATAAAGATTCAGAAGGGAGGGGTTGGCATCCCTATCATATATTAATTCCAAAATCATTATCTATCACAACTTAGTTGCTGCTGAACAAAAGAATAAGGAAAAGAAATTCCATTCCCATTCCTATCGGGCGTAGTAAAGACGCCCTAAATTATCTGCATCCCCTCCCCCTGTTTAACATCCCCATTACTGCACCGGTCTTTATTTTTTATTTTTGGCCCAATTTATCATGTCTTCCGGTCTTGCCATCTGTATGATCTGCTTCCTTTTCTTTGTGATAAAACAGCTTTTGACTAGCTCTCTCCGTTGTATAATTTTTTTTTTCCAGTGTTATCTTATTTTGTAATTCTTGCTAGTTCAAACGGTAATTTGAGCCCATAGACAGAATTTGTTAAAGAAGAAATTCAAAACTTTTAATCAATATCAATGTGCTAACAATGCTAATGCTTTAATTACAATTAGTTCCAATTCAATATGAATTTTCAAATAACAATAAACAATATCATAATTACCAAACTCAAAGCAACTCAGCAACACTTCTATACCATCAATTTACAGATTGGTCTATCAAGTGAAGTTCATATTCATACAGCAAATCAAGAATTCAACAAGCTTTTACAGAAAAGTCAATCGAGAGAAAACAATAAGGTGTGTCTAGAGACTGAAAAGAATTTAAAAAGAAAAAATTGGTAAATACCTGCAATGCCAAACCGTAGCCACCATTGACATCTTGTTCAAAATAAAGTAACTGAAAATAAAAAATAAAAAAAATGCAACACCAAGCTTTAATTTTTGCACAAATAAAAATATTTTAAAAGCGGACTGAGAAGAGAAGGGCGGGGTAGAGCTAAAACATGCATCATAGACATTGCACATGGAATGTAAACAACCTTAAATTTGCTTTGTGCAGTTGAAGTTACTCTCACAACAATGCCTGACTCAGCTTGTTGCTCATTTATTGTTACACCAAAGAAATGGGCACATTGCTTTTCCACCTGCAATGGAATAGAGAATAAGTCACAAAAATGGAGTGAAGAAAATTAGTCACGTAAGCAACTATATCAGTTAGAAATGCTAAACACCTTTCCACTAACTGATGTTCCAATAGGAAGGGGTCTGACTGTGACAGTTCCGTTCAGAGCTTCTTCAAGAACATTAGCAGAAATTGTAGTTTTGATAGGGACACCAAGCTTGCTATAAACAATAAGATAAGAGACTTATTATAGCAAAATCACTATACAATCTACAAAAAGAGCCAACTCTCTCACCTGAATAATGCAGCAAATACCGTATTGACGGTACCCAGATTAGATAAATCAATTTCCATGTCCATGCTTTCAGCATCAAGAGCCTGAGAGGAGTCAATAATAGAACTCCAAAGATTAGAAAGCCCTTAGCAAAGAAAATGAATATTATGCAAACAGCATGAAAAGAACATTAATGATGGCAAGAAGTCATCAAAAAAGCTCACATGAATGCACTGAATTGAGAACTTCATGCACAATTAACAAGTAATATTATCCATTGAAATAAAAGCACATGTAGCATCTCCAAATTCAAATCACTGACACAGTAATATCCTGGCATGCATAATGAAGACAGAAACAGTCCTTAGAAATAGCGCATGCAAGACACACCACACATGACATAAACAAGGTGCTTCTGCAGGGTTATATTGCGTGAGGTTACTTGTATTCGTTTATTCTATCTTTTTTATTTTTTTCCCGAGGGACATTTATTTATCTTTTGCATTGCACCACCCTGATATTCTGGTAGTACTACTTTATTTGTATTGTGCCAGTCATAATCCATAAAATCTTGTTTTGTTTAGGGAAGTAAAAGATACTTGATAGTTTAGTCAGCTAATTTATTCCACAATGTCAGTAGGAAATCGACAGGGTAGGAAAATACATACAAACCCATGCATAACAAAAAAACAACTAGCTTTAGTTCCTAACTAATTGGGGTCATCTATATGAACCATTTGTTTCCATTCCACTCTGTTCATAACTAAATCAGCACTAAGAAGTAGTAGGTCTCAAAAGTAGTGAGTCATCTGAGGTAACTTCCCTCCATGTGGTTCTAGGTCTATCTCCTCTTCCTTTTTAGCACCCTCCACCATCAATGTAACCCACTTACGAACGGAGCACAGTGGGGGCGGAGGTGTCTATGCAATCATTTAACAAGTTCACGAAAACATAACTCTCTCTACCTCTTTGGATTCCCTTCTCCAACACTTGTTATCTTTGCATTTATCCTCATTCATGTGTTTCTTTCCTACACAGTTGTTCTCCTTGAACTAATAATCACTCTTCCTCCACCAGATAAAACATCCTTAAAGTAGCAGCAGAAAATGTCCATTCCCACCCATCTTATAATACATACAAAGCCTTTGGTTCTATCAATCCATATACCCCTAGATATTTTTCATATCCTTGTCCCAATCAATAACATGTTAAAACCAATTAAAATATCACCGAAGCTTGCGAGCCCATGAAAATCCAGAGATTAATTGAATTCATTTCCACCCCTGTTCAGCCCCAACCATAATCCCTACCTTAACCTGAACATCTATAATTAACCTAAAAGTGGGAAACCCAAAATATCTATTCAAACCCTCAAATTCTTAAAGTTTTAATCTTTAACCCACCATACGGTATTAGCAACTACATGAAGAGAGAGAGAGAGAGAGAGAGAGAGAGACTGAGTAATGCATATTAATATTAACTTTAGCAGGTGAAAAACCACAGTGGGCATATATCTTTGAAGGATTACTGGCACCAAGGTGATGCTGCCAATTTTGGCAAATCCGATATTTTATAGATATTGACTAAGCAATTGTGAGAAATGAGAATGGCAGAAAGAAATGAAGGCAGTATGTTTCAATGGGAAAAGGATTCTGGTGAGAAAATTCAGTTCAACAGGATCACAATCTTGACGTCTAACAGGGGCTTCTTGGCCCCAAGAACATTATATATTCATACCAAATAAGTGATAAAGAGGAATAAGAGTCGAGTATGTGGCTCATGTTTAAAGAAGATACTACACACCAAAAACGCACCAGGCATAGGGGGGTTTCACCATAAGGGACAAAGACTCCAAAGTAACTAGGGTGATTCTAACCCAATTAATATGAGATTAAAGCTTAGTTGTTGTTTCTTTTTCTTTGTGTGCGAGTGTGCGAGTGTGTGTGTGTGTGTGTGTGTGTGTGTTGGGGGTGGGGGGGCAGGGGGTGTGGCAGCCTGGTATTTACATAGGCAGTTGTGACCCTATCACATATGGTAAAAAAATTATGAGTGATTACTTTTTCTATGTTTTTTAATCTGTGTGTGAGTTGCATGCTTCTCCTTTTTATTTTTTTCCAACAAGGACAATTATAAAGAAAGAAGCTGAAAAAAGGACCTCAAACCCTGCACTATCATACTGCCTTCTCTTCTCTGGGTCGGATAAGATGCTATAGGAATACGCAACCTCCTTGAAAAGTTCAGAAGCTTCAGGATTGCTGGCATTCTTGTCCGGATGATATCTGCTCATGATTTAAGTTGACCATAGGATTAAATGTAAGCATACATAGTAACACCATCAGCATTGCCATAGAACAAGTAACCATCTCACTAGAAATGAAAGGAGGCTATAAAATGAACATGAAAAATTTTTCAACAAGTACACATAACAATCTAAATCTACCATAAACAGTTTACAATAATTCAGAAAGCATCCAACAAAATGTAGGCATCACATTCGATATTAACATGAAAACGCAGGTGAAGCCATCAACAAAATAATGGTATTTAATTGATTTAAGGTGATAACATTACTTGAAGCAGCATGTAGTTCCAATATATATAAATCAGAAAGCAATCCCAACAAATGTAGGCATCCACCATTCCGATCATTTAATGAAAACGCAGGTGAAAGCCATCAACCCAAAATTAATGGTAATTTAATTGATTTAAAGGTGATAACATACTTGAAGCAGCATGTAAGTTCACCCAATATATATATATTCTAATATTTCACTAATACTATATAATAAACCTTCATAATTTAAATCGACATGGAACCACGTCAAAAATAATTGAAATGAATTATATATATATAACCTCATAATTTAAATCGAATGGAACCACGTCCAAAAATAATTTAAATTGAATGGAACCACGTCCAAAGACCTCCAATTCCAGACAAGTTCAAATTAACAACTCCAGACTTTGTTTGTTAGGAATGAAGTGGACATGAAAGAAAATTGGAGAAAAAGAGAGGATCCCATGTTACTAAGTTTATTTGGTAGAACAGAAAGTTCATAGGAAAAAACTGGCACTGAGAATAAGAGTCTTTAGGCTTTTGGAGCCAACTCGATAGAATTATTGATTGATAGAGAGTTGATAAAGGGCTATCCTTCCAAATTCACCAAATCTTTCCAGCCATGTGCATGATAAAACTTAATTTTTTCCCTTTTTTTCCAGAGAAGCATATGCTTTCTTTTCCTTCCTATCTAAAAGGAAGCAGAGTTTATTTCTCATTTATTCCTTTCATCCTATTATTTCCCTTCTCTCACTCTTCTTTTGTTCCGCCAGAGTGTTCAGAATTCTTTAAATCCCACTGACCTCAAATTTCCACTATTAACTACGTTGAGTGATTACACACATTATGCCCATTTTAGATTATGAAATAATAAATCGAACATAGAGGAACACATCAACTTGCTTGGTTGAGCAAATAGTTAACAAAATAAACCTAGTCATATGCATACACATTTCGAGTCCTTGACATGCTAAAAATGAAATTCCTGCTCATGATTGCGATTAATTTTGCCCAAGTGTCAAGATAACAAAACAGTCCAATGAACCACCTTAAGTCAGTTGCTAATGCTGCAATCGCATCTTATCACAATTAACACATGAACTTCTTTAGCAAAGGCAACTTCTCGGAAAATTTGCCATAAAAAGACTCGACGGTATTACCAGCCAAACAAAAGTGTTCAGCTACATTGAACTCTAATTGGACATGGTTAAACTAATAATATTAAAACACAGCTACATACATAGGCAAAACTATCTAATTCACACTAAAACCTCATTGAGCTATAATTGAGTTAATAGCCTAGTAATAGAGACTATGTAAGCACCCATTAGCTAAAAGAATATTCAGAACGCCAATGTCCTTGTAAAGCATAAACAAAATTAAAATAAAATTAAAAAAAAGGAAAAAATCAGAACAATAAAGAACATGGAACTTACTTGAGAGCTAGTTTTCTATAAGCAGTTTTAATCTCCTGGTCTGTAGAATCTCTCGATACGCTCAATACCTCATAAGGGTCTCGTCTAATTGCCGGAGCTGATGTACTTTCTGCCTTCTTCGAACCCATCTCCTCCTCCTAAATCTCCCTCACACTCTCTCTCTAAATACAGAAGGCTGTGCCTTTCTCTTTAAAATTGGAATCAGCAAAAGTGTAATATCCCTTCAATGGGAGCCAAACTCTGGCAACCAAGCAACCATATCCTGCAAATCTACCGCCCATATATAAACGAAAATTAGCCAATCGAAAAAACTGTTAAACCGCCTAAAGTTACACAAAATTCAAAGCAATTTTTGGATCCCTCTTCGTATCCTCGGGAAAACAAAAAGTAGAATTGCAATTTGAAATTGTAAGAAATTGAATTGAAAGATCCGCTGCTTATTTGCACTATTACATTACCAATTACAGAAAATTGAAGAGGTAAGTTAGGGTTTTGAAACTTACAATTATGATGTAAATAGAGGGACGGAGAGAGATGTAATAACGTGAGGAGCTTTTGGGAGCTTTCCTGCTCTTCTCTGTTCTTCGTTTCCTCTTCTCCTCTTTTGTGACATCACGTATTTTCAGCCAACTGATTTTTAGTCCAACAAGAAAAAAAGCTGACCAATTTTTATATTACATATTTAAATTTATTACCTTCTGATTTTGATGAGTAATGGAAGTATTTGTTTTTTTTTTATATTAGGATTATCAACATTTTTAATATTAAAAATAACGAGTTATAATTTAAATTTTCATTGGAAGTGGTAAATAATGTTTTTGTCATTAACAATAATAATATCATATTTTTAAAATGAATAATTTAACAGGCAAATGTTTTTAAAAAATTATAACAACATTTTACTTCCAAGATGTTAAATTTTAAAATTTAAAAATATGAGTCCTACTTCTTTTATTGAATAAATTATATTAATAGTCATTTAACTTTTCACTTAATTCCACGAGGTTATACAAAACTTTAATTTCTTATTTTTTAGTCTCTAAATTTTAATACTTATTTTAATGGGAGGTCATTCACTGAAATATCGTCCTTAAAGATATTAACATAGTAACAAAAATAAAATAATTTATTTTAAAATTCTTATTTTCTCCAAATACATTGTTTTGGAAATACCTATTGATTTAGTTAATAAATAATGTCATTTATATGAAATAAATTTTTAAAAATATAAAAGTGAAGGAAAAAATTCAGTCTATTATGTATAATTTCTAGGATTTTTTTCTTTTTATTTTTTTATATTCCTTTATAATCATGATTTTTTTTTATACACGTGATTTTTAGTGTCATGTTACTTTTCTAATTACCGGATTTTTAGTGTCATTTTGATTACAGAAAGAGTACATTTGTTTCTGATTATGCTCTTTGATATTCTTCAAAGACAGATACTACGATAGTACACATTAGTTGGCAACTACACAATTGATTAGTCTTAGCTGGAAAATTACTTTTTTTTTCGAAAATTCAAAAAGCTGGAAAATTACTTTGTACCCACTAATTAGTAGTGTTCTTCATCTTATTCTCTAATTTTTACAGAAATAAATTACTAGAATAATTTAGGTTTAAGGTATCAAGGGAGTCCGTAAATTAATTTGCATTTTAAATGTAAAGATTTTTAGCCTTCAATCCTTATGGATATTGAATTTATTTACCGCTGCAACCAACCCCAACCTTATATTTTTATGTTAAACTCTATATTGTGCGGTTAAAAGTAAAACTACAGTTGGAGAAAACGAAAAATATAGCAATAATACAAAGCACCGATCAATCAGATAGATATATATATATATATATATATATACACACACAAAACGACGTTGGAGAAACGAAAAATATAGCAATTAATACAAAGCACGATCAATCAGCATAAGATATACTATTATTAAATATAAATATATTAATATAACACACACGTTAAAATCTTCAATCCTAATTAAGCAGAATGGGCTAAATGACTTCTCATCCCTGTCAAAACCAAAGAATATAATAATATATATATATATATATATACACACACGTTAAATCTTCACATCTAATTAAGAGGAATGGGCTAAAATGACTTCTCATCCCTGTCAAAACCAAAGAATATAATACACAAATAAATTATTCAATATTTCTTTCATCAATAGAAGCAATGTCAATCTCATATTCAACACGAGGAAGAGAAAACAAAGAAGGGTTTGGAGGCATTTCAATGGCATCTACATCCCTAATTAGCATTTCTAAAACCCTAGTCATTGAGGGACGATCTCTAGGATTTGTTTGAATGCACCATAAACTTACTAAAATTATCTTCTTTTCTATATTGGCATCCTCTTGTTCAGGTATGATTTCAAAACCGTCCAAAATTTTCTCTTCAATGAGTTTATAAATGTTATTTGGAAAGTATACTTCGCTTGAAGTGCTTATATTTGGTTCTACATGGTTAACATTAATTCTCCCTCCGATCATCTCTAATAGCAACATACCGAAGCTATAGACATCGGACTTATGAGAAACGTTACCAAAATTTCTCATGAAAATTTCTGGAGCAATATAACCAATAGTACCTTTCACGGTTGTCATTTGTACAACACTTTGACTTCTTGAAAACACTTTTGCCAATCCAAAATCAGAAATTTTAGGATTCAAATGATGATCTAGCAAAACATTTTGAGGCTTTATATCAAGATGCAAAATCCGAGACTCGCAACCATTGTGTAAATACTCTATTCCATGAGCAATTCCTATCGCAATTTCAAGCATTCTTGCTAACCCTAATGAAACACAGAACTCTTTGTTGGATAATAAGTCCCCTAGCGATCCGTTGGGCATGTATTCATATATAAGAGCTTGTCTTGGACCACTGCAGCTGAAACCAAGTAATTTTATGACATTAATATGATGTATCCTACCAATTGTAGCAACTTCAGTAACAAAGTCTTGGCCATCGCCATTTTTGGAGGACTTCTCTAGCAATTTTACAGCAACAAGGCGACCATCTGGTAGTTTTCCTTTATAAACATTGCCAAACCCTCCTCCACCTAATTTTTCTTTGAAACCGTTTGTCATATTCTTGATATCACTGTAAGTGTAATTTGTCAGCAACTCTGATCTATACGTTCTAATAAAACTTTCAGCATTTATTTCTTGTCCTGCATTTTGATTTTTATCTGTTTTCTTCAATGTTGCTGCAATTCGCTTTCTAAATGCTAGAACAATAATCAACATAACGGATAATCCAGCTGCAACTCCTGCAAATATATCAGAAAGCTTTGAGATAATCTTCTCAATGACAAACACAAAGTAGAAAATTAAAAGTATATAATGCCATTTTATTATATAAATATAAGCAGTACCCACGAAGAGCTTCCACTTTTTCCGTTGCTTCAATTTTTTCTCTCTGCAATATAACCAAAAAAAAAAAGTATGGTTATTTTTTATTTAGGTAGACCATTTTTTTAGTAGGTCAGAATTGTATATCCCTTACAAAATAATAATATTATCTTCTGAATAATGGCCTTAATTAAGGATTAAATCTCTAATAAATAAAAGGAAGTTCGAATTTGTGTTTACTGAAGACAAAACGCGTCGTGGAACTTTTATTTGCCAACATTGAACTCTTCAACTTTTATTTAGATAAGCTTAAAGCCTTAAATTTATTAGAGTAAATAACAAATTCAAATTTAACCACCATGAACAGAATAAAGAATAAAGACTCAATTTTGACAAAAATAAAAGTTCAGAAACTTCAATAACAAAAATAAAAGTCCAGGTGCCTAATAATTTAATTAAGCGCTCCAATAAACAAAAATTTAAAAGTTTTAACAGCTGAAACTCTCATTGGTGTATATCTATACATATAGATAGGGAGACAGAGAGAGTTAATTGTAACGAACTGCCATGAAATTAAGATTATTAAAGCATATAATTACTAATAATAACTTACTCTTGGATGCAAACTATTCTTCTTAAGCCCCCATCAAATCCACACCGTCCACCTGTCAAATTGCAGCTATCACACGCTTCAAAAGAGGGCCACATCAAAGGAAACCCATCAGCCAACACATCAACCAGTGTAATCCCCAGCTTATTTCCACTTAAGAACTCATAACTCGCACTTGACACAGGAACCCTGATTAACTCACACCTATTCGGAGTTAAAACAGGACTGGTTCGACTCGGCGAGTTAAACCCACTTCCACTCGACACGTAAACCTTATTATTCCCTTCACTGCAAGTAAAGTTGCTCACCACCTCATCAAGAAACTCATCAGAAAGTGTGATCTCAACAGGACACTTAAATAAAGATAGACTAATATTCCAAGGAGGAAGTTTAAGAGAATAATCACTGGTATTAGACACTCTAGGAAGATTACGTAAAGAAATGCATGAGTTCGTCTTTAAATCGTTAATAAGTGTGCTATCAACAATAGTAATAAGTCTTTCTTCTGTATAAAGATTTTTCACACTGTAAGGTCTACCGGAAAAAAATATACTGGCGGAAGGAGACGACGGTTCGCTTTTGTCACAGGCGATTTGATAACCGGGAAGACCACAGTCTTTGGGGTTTGAGCCGAAAGTGTCAGAAGAGGTGAAAGGGAAGAGAAAAGTTATGTTGCCACATAAGAATGGCGAACAAAGGTCGTAGTCGGTTGCCGTGGCGGTGTTAGTGGTGGAGCTGAGAAAGAGAGATAGGTTTGTAATGAGAATTAGGAGACATAAGGATGAAGAAGTAGCCATTGCTGATCTGATACCCTATCCTAAGTTGAAAGACTTAGAGGTTGTCTCTCAGTCTCTGCGTTTACTTTTGACCAGTTGGGTTGAACAATTTTTTTGTTTCTCTCAATGGATATCATTTATGCAGAGAATGACTTGGAAGTTTACTTGGTAACCATACGTACATGTTTTGCCTTTCTCATTTAAAAAATCAAATTTTTTCTTAAAAAAAAATGACGTAAATAATGAAAGTCATTAGATAGAAAATGGTTAATTTGTTATTTTCAACTTTTTGATTTTTTTTATTTTGATATGGGACACGAGAAAAATTGTAATTGAGTGTCTAAACTATTAAAAAATTACAATCAAGTGTATTTAATTGGATTATTTGATCGAAAATTTAAAATAGACATGACCCAATAAGTGAAACGTAAACATTTATTCAATTAATCTATATTTTTTATTTTTTATTTAGTTATTATGTTATATCTTCTCTCTAAAAAATCTCAAAAATTTCTTCTAATTTTCTTTCAATTCCAAAACAATACATAAAAAAGAAGAAATAAAACCAATTAGAAAAGAAAGGTAATAATTTTTAGAAATATAAATAAATTAAAGCAATTAAAAGAGTTCATTTTGATTTTCCGGTAAAAATATCCGATTCAATTAATACACTTAATGTTATTAAAATTATTAATCCAAGACACTTATTGTTGCAAATTATAATTTCTATTTAGACACTAAAGTAAAAAAAAAAAAAAAAAAGTTTAGAAATTACAAACATAAAAACAGAAGCGTTTAATTTTTTTTAAAGGAATACGTTTAAATTTAAAAACTTCAAAATCAAATTGTAATCTATTTATTATGGTTGAACAATATTTTCCTTATTACTTTTCATATTCTAAAATATAAATCGTTTTTGGATGCTTGTTTTGTCCTAATATATAAATTGTCTTGAGTATTTTAAGAAATAATAAATGATATTTTTCAAATGTTACTTTAATTTATATTAGATGCAATAACTATCTTTACAAATTATCTTTGATTTTGGAATAAAAGGGTAATTTAGTCAAATTACTCTTACTTTTATTATAATTTAGGAAAATTAATTAATTTCTTAATCAATATGCAAAAATTTTAAACAATTTATATTTTGAGACAGAGAGAGTAACATTTTATTACACTCAATTTATGAATATATATTTTGAAAATCCGAGTTGTGAAACAAAATTGGACTCAATTAACTTAATAATTAAGAATTTAAGGATCAATTGGATTAAAAAAATATCTCCCCGATTTGAATTAGATAATCAAACAACAAACACATATTAAGAGAGTTACCCATTAGAAGTGAAATGGTAAGGCACCCTTTAGTTTAATGGACGATTTCCATAAAATTGCATATTTGATATGTGAAAAAACACTTATGAGAAGAGAGATATAAAAATGTAAATTCAGGGATGAAATTAAATTTAAAAGTATTTTGTAAAAATAATTAGTATTTTGTTTTGTTTATACACTAAGCAAATGATACGTAACCACAATTTTTTTAAAACAATGAGTACAAATTACAATTTACGGAGGATCCATTACAGGACAAAATTTACAAAATTTTATATAGAAATTATGATTGGGGAAGAGATTAAAGATCTAACGATTCTAATAGAGCAGTCAGTGTTAATTGTTAACTAGTCAAACAAGGCATCAGTTGCATCCTAATCCAATCCAATGGACCATGAGTCCTATTCCATTTATACCTCACAATCACATTATATATGTCAACTACAAATAGTTCCACCCTAATTGCACGCCAAGGACCAAGTCTTTGTGGTTGTTGCAATCCCATGTCCTTGTTTGACAAGTCTTTTTTTTTTTTTTTTTTTTTTTTTTTTTTTTTTTTTTTTGCACGATATAAAAAATGTAAATCAGGATGAAATTAAATCTAAAAGCTTTGTTAAAATAACTTAGTATTTTGTTATTGTTTATACACCTAACGCCAATGATAGCACAATTTTTTTAAAACAATGAGATACAAAATTACACATTTACGGAGGATCCATTACAGACAAAATACAAATTTTATATTAGAAATTAATGATTGGCGTGAAGAGATAAAAGATCTAACGATTCTAATAGAGGCAACCAGTCGTTTACATTGGTCTAACTAGTAATACAAGCCGACACTCAGTTGCATTGCCTAATCCAATCCAATGGACCATGATGCTCCTATTCCATTCTATACCCACCAATCACTTTATATCATCAACTACAAATATTTCCACCCTTAATTGCACGGCCAAAGGACACGTCCTTGTGGTTGTTGCAATCACTGTCCCTGAGATTTGACAAGTCTTCTTTTTTTTTTTTTTTTTTTTTTTTTTTTTTTTTTTTCATAGTAATCAAAGTTATAATTCCCTCTACGAACTTGTAGAGCTTCGAATGCCAAACACCAATTTTTTTTTTTTTTTCTTTTTTTTACCCTTTCGAAGCAATTACACTTCCTACAAATTGACATTTTTGTGGTTCAACCTTATGAAGATTGATTATTAGACATGACTACCTCGACTAACTTCCTTTCATTTTTTTTCTTCTTTAACTTAACCAAGTCCTATATTACACTTTTTTTTTTTTTTTTTTTTACCCTTCGAGCAAAGTACACTTCCTAAAAATTGAATTTTTGTTTTCAACCTTATGAAGATTGATATAGCATACTACCTCGACTAACTCCTTTCATTTTTTTTCTTTTTAACTTAAACAAGTCTATATAACCTTTTTTTATTTTAAAGAGAATTTTATGAATCATCCAAATAGAAAGTTGACTTCTAAAAAACATGAAAATTGACTTATAAATAACTTTTTTAATGAAAAATTCAGTAAAATCCATTTACTATAAACGAATATGATTTTTTTGTTATTTCTTGACATTAAATAAATTAATACTATGAAGAAAACAGAGTAAAATAATTCAAAGTAGACTATATAAGGGCAAAATAATAATTATATAAACAATTACTTAGAAGAAGGAAAATTATAAAATTTTGAATGGGTAGGGAATTTGAGATAGTACAAATTTGCCTCTTTTAAACACGTCAAGCACATGCTTATTTTTGCAAACCGGTCCTTTTTTAACTCGTGCATTGCATATTAAAATATTAAGTATTAGTTATAATTTTTCTCTTATATGATCTAAATTTTATAATATTAAAACATGATTTCATATTGAAATTTCGTGAATAAAATAAGTAATTAATAATCATAGTCATTGTGAATACAATAACTTAATTGAAAAGAATGCACAAAAATCTCATCAACCAAAAGACCATCTCATTCTGCAGAAAATTAAAGTTTCAGTTTAGTTATTGTAAATGAACTCGGTAATATTTATTTACAAATTTTTTCAATTTTCACATTCAACATAAAAAAATTCATTCAAATTTTCACATTTTTAATTTTATTGAATTAATTATACTTGAACCATATTCAATTGCGAATAATAAAATTTATATATCAATTTTAAATTTAAAAGGAATTCAAATTATCAAAGTCAACGAATTGTAATAAATTTTAAGTACAAATTAGCAAAATTGTACATTTAGAATAAGTTTAATAGTTGATCTAAATTTGAAAATTCATTTGCAAATAATTTTTTTAATGAAAAAAAGTAATCCACATTATATATAACATTTCAATTCCCTTATGCTAAAAATTGTATAAAAGTGCCCAAAACGTTATTAGAGAGGCGAACCGACCAAATTACTTCAAAAAAGAATTGAACTCTGCAAGATCGAATCTCCCGTTATTTATTTTTTAGTTATTTAGAAAAAATTAACCGATTATAATTTGGTAGGTTGAATAAATTCGTACTTTTCGTGAATTCATCTAAATTTTTAATTGGGTTTACTTGTCTGTTTCGTATAATTCATCAACCAATACAATTTAATTTTGGTTGGGTCAGGTTGAAGCTCATTTTGCAGTTCATACTCCAAGGAAGAAGAAATGGCTACGGTAAAAACCAACATCTAAACATACAAAGAAAAGAAAGAACAACCTGCCGTTCTCACTGATCTTCACTAAAAATTCCATCATCTTCAAAAGAAAAGAAAACCTGAGTGGAGGCGAGTAGCTTTTGCATCAGGAAGGCAGAGGCAGCAAACGAAAGATTGAATTTGAAAAGGTGGGGGTTTGACTTTTGATGCAGACGGGGAAAATTGAAAGATGGAATTTGAATTAACTATTGTCATGGCATATGATTTACAAAGCTATGTGTAAAGATAAGGACGCACAGAGGTATTTACGCACCTATATAAGAAACCTATGACCTCACTGGTTTGAAGTTGAGCAGTACGACTCGACCTTGATCACCCTGGTATTATAAGATCCACAAAACCTGCACTTGTGGTATAGCCAGTGGAATGGTGCCGTGCCCTTCTTGTCACAGTCATTGCACAGTATATCCTGGATTACAAAAGTCAGTGTTGGTGAAAGAACCAAGAAGTGTAAAAATACCAGACGATTTACCTGGCAACGGTCCCGGTATTCTTCTGGTAGCTCTTCAGATGCCAACAGTGCATCAAGCATGCCGAAGTAAACCTGAAGAAAAAAAACAGAAATGTTCTGAGGAATCTTCAAAATTTACATTCATTCCAGTCTCACCATAAGTATGGTTGAGCATAGGAGACTCGCTCGACAACCTAATTTAATTTTCATTTCACTCTCAACACGAGAATGGGTTGAGCATAGGAGACAACCTCAAAAGAAAGGTAGCATTCACATTTCATCAGAATTCAAATAAAAGGTATGGTTTCATTAATTTAAGCTAAAGCATGATTTGGTTACTTTAAAGAGTATAGAAGTGAAGAACTAAGTTCCTACATACACAGGGAATTAACTCTCACATAAAACAATTTGGGCTGTTATTAGCGTTTTTGTGTGTGTGTGTGTGTGTGTGTGTGTGTGTATACATATAGAAAAAAAAAAAATTAATTCGCGCCCTTTTTCTTTTGCCTCGGCAATAAAATTAAAAAATATATTTATTTAATTCTTAAATATTAGATTAATTTTTGCATTTTATTGACTATAGATTAACCAGTGTAATTTGTATCCAAACAACCTTCAATGTTTGGACTTTCCATAAAATAAGTATATATACATATCAATGCAAAGGAAATTTTCACTCAAAAATTGCGATGAATTATCAATAATCTAAAAGTTCAAACAAATTATAAAAAGAACTGATAATTCGTTTAAATTTTAAAAGTGAACCAAACCATAAACTTTTCAAAACTATGGTTTTAGATTGGTTTGGCCGGTTTTTGAAAGTTTATGGACACCCCTACTTATAGCAAACCGGAGTACTAGGATCCATTTAGAATAGCAGTATGGGTTGCAGAAGCGGGCTGCTAAACATGCGGATAACTGCTTTTCAGAAAATTACAATAGAAAAACAACAAATTACGAGGAAGAAAGAGAGAGAGAGTACAAGTCCCACAAATAGAACAGGGGGCAGAAGAGTAGAGTGCATTTTCAAAGGCAAGTTCAAATTCAACCAGAATAGCCTCTAATGGTCTAACCTAGTCAACAGAAACCAAGTTTTACAGGCTAGAATATAATTTGGATGTAACGCACCTTTCTATAATGCCACTAATGAACCACAAAAACTTATGTTTATGAGTATATAAAACTACCATAATTCTGTAATTTCCTGAGTAATTTAAAAATAGCTTAACAACTCAAGATCCATTTCAGTCTTGAAACTTCAGAGAAGATCATATTAACTGTTAGGTTTCAGAAATAGCAAAGACAAGTAACGAGAAAAATCAGTTAGAGATGTCCAGAAACTAGAAACAAGGAAAGCTTGTTGGTTATCACAATTTTTGCTGATCTCCAAAATGAATTCCATTTTTTACAAGAAAAAATAACAAAAGATTTTGCAAATATGCCTCACTTAACTCAAAACATTATCATTTTTAATCCAGTCTATAATAGTATTATAGATTAGTTGGTCAAAAAGAGAGTTAGTACATCTTACCGACATATCTCCCAAAGATTTGCTACAAATTGGGCAAATGTAGTGACTGCAAGTATATGCCTGTTACAGAAAATGTGCTGTCAGAATTTATGTACCAACAGGAATTGAAAATGGACAGGACAACAATGACCAAAGCAAAAGCCGAATAGACCTGAAAGCAATTTGAATGCATGAAATGGCCGCAAGGAAGAGCTTTGACACTTAAACTTGAAGTGAACAAAAAGTCACAGCAGATAGGACAATTTATTTCCAGACCTTTCTCTCGGCATTTGTGATCCACTAACTTCATTGCCAAGCAGCAATTACACTTCATGCAATGAAAGAAGTCAACACCAAGTCCATTTCCAACACGGCATAAATTGCAGAAAGGACAATGATAAACATTCCTGAAATAAATTCAAAAAAAGCAAGAAATTGATTAGCAAGCTATCCAGTTATAGACATAAATCAATAGACAATCAAGAAACAAAAGGAGTGAACCTGTCCACAACCAAGATTAGAGCTCTCAGGTTCTTTCCATGAATTAGAAAATCAAATAAAAATACACAACTTTCGCTTCAGGTATGTTAATTTGACAATCAAAATCTTACAGTTGATGTCCTTTAAAATAGAATAGACCATGAAAACACATGCTTCTTCGTTCTTTTTAAATTTCTACATCATCAGTGATTCAGGCACCCCTTCTAGCAAAATAATCAAATTTCCAATTTGGATAAAAGTGCAGGGAATAAAATTGTTGAAAAGATGAAATGCACAAATGATAGAAGATAAATATCATGTAAATAATTCAAAGTCAACAATCATCCAACAAAGTTCACCTAAATATGTCATATCCCACAGTACTATTTCTTTTAAACCTTCCGGCAACCACAAATTTAAGGGGAAATTAATTTTATGAAAGCCTTTACCTTTCATCATCAAAAAATTTGCATATGCTGCAATAGTATTTTGCCATTGATAAACCACCACAAGAAGGTGTTATGCAAACTGGGCCAACGTGCTGAATTTTCAGGCAGCGCATGCACATCATTTCAGATGTCGCTTTCCTGCGAGTATAAACATAATTCAAGTTAATATATGACTAGAAGTGAAACCAAAACAAGGTATATAACAAATGATAAACACTTACCTATCCATTGAATGGTCACTGACTTTATCATGGCAGAACCTGCACGTGAATAACTTTCCACAGCAGGCAGCACGGAGTTTACAGTTCCGTTTATAATGCTCACACCCAAATTCACGTTTCTCTGGATCGCGAAATGAAGGATAACATCCAAGGAAGTCTTCACCATTTGAAAATTCACCAGTTCTTGCATGAGGTGACTTCTGCTGAGCAGCTATCCAGCGACTAACAAAACCAATATGCTGATCAGAGCGAGCAGAAGAATGATAGTCAAAAAGAGTTCAGACAAACAAAGCATAAACACACCTGGTCATTAGATTTTGAATAAGATATGCTTTTCTTCTTGGATCAAGAGATGAATCTCGAGAAACTTTTCTTATCTCTGCTTCAAGTTCATTTTGATTCATGCGAAAAATATCTTTCCAGCCAGGCTTAAACGTATTGTCACTGTGATCCAAGCTTTCATGGAGATCAGTGCCTGAATGAGCGCCAAAACAAAACACAATGAAAAAAATCTTGATAATTTATTTTTTTGAATAAAAAAAATGCAACATTCAGCCGGGTCTCAAGTCGCAGCAACAAAATAGAAATGTTATTTTACAGGGATTAACTTACAAACTATCAGCAATAATAGAAGATTCACATACCTAGTGATATACAGCTGCCTGATGTTGGCGCTTGTGAAGTTTCAGCGAAAGTACCCTCCCACCATTCATTGAGCCACTCACAAAACATTGTGTTTTTCGTAGCATGTTTCCATGTGTCCATCATTTTGTTCTGCTCTTCCTGAGTGAGAGCAGATGTTACCCATGGCAACATTGATTGAAGCACCTCCGCACCTGTAGTACCAATTATTCGACCAACAATTTTGTCCTGTTCCTCCACTGAAAAATGTAAGTCAAATAATGGCCATAACTCAAGTTCTTCCCGAAAAACATGTTGATCCAGTGATACTCTAATGGATTTGCACATGCCCTGCAGCTTTGTTGCAAGCTCATTATACTTTCTCAAAGTTTCACTGCGATCAGAAGAATCAGATTGGTTTCCAGTTAACTCATCAGATAGATCGATACTTTCCAAGCATTCCTGAAGTCGTGTAAGCTCAGAGAGTGTAGATGAGATATCTTCAAATAGTTCCTCTTCCTGCTTGTGATCCAGCGTGTAAGAATGGCTAACATTATGAAGTGTCTCTTTAGACTCTAGTTCTGGAAACACTATGTCATCCTCTGCATTACTGTGGGCCCTATATAAACCCCATAACAGACGAAATCTACCTGTAAACTGCCTAAGCAAAGATTCATTACAATCATTTAGTTTTCCAGATTCAACATCCAAATATTCCAAGTCTTTGCGGATGGCTTTATGAAATTTAAATATGGTATCAATAGGTCGTGATGCACAACCACTGTCTGTGGGACTTATATCTGTTTCCCAATTAAAAAGACTAGAGTTAAGGGAGGGAGCAGAAGGACTAAAAGACAAGGAGCGCAGAGATTTTGCCGCAGCAAGAGAACTAATTCTTAGATTACCGGTGTTCACACCTAATCCAGGGACACAGCAAGACTTATTACTACAAGATGATCTGGGAATATTAACAGTCTCCGGAGAGCGACAAGCATCATCATCTTCCTGTAATACTAAGTTTCCTCGCTTGACCAGCCTTCTTCTTTCGTCTGCTTCATTGGTTTGGATAAAAGAAGACTTTCTATTGTTAGCCAACTTAGGATTGCTGTCAGAGATTGATTGTTTGGCATCCTCCGGAATTGTAGTCAGAATTCTCACAGGACAGCAACCAGTAGCACCTGAAGACAAACAAATGTTCCTAGGACGACCTTTGCAAGCCCAACCAGAAAACAGTGTAACCAATGCAGAATCTGAAGCTGGAGCTGCATTATACCACTCTGGGAGTCAAAGATTGAAAGAAAGAGAAGACACAGATACCACAGAAAACACACGTGGAAAAACATAATCAACAGTGATAGAGAGGAAGCTTGAGAATTGGTATAGACCTGCCATGCACATGTTTTGAAGAAAAGACTTTGCTTCTTCTTCGCTAAGTGATCCTACTAACCATGGTAAGACACATTCAATCAATTTCAAGGGCATCACGCATAAGCTTTGATAAAGAAGTTCACGCTGTCTTTTGGCACTAAAATGCTTTCGAGCAAGGGGGAGAACCTACCAATGCATATCAGTCTGTCAGATCATTTGTAGAGACAGCAAGAGATACTTGATTTAGAATTCCAAGGATATAAAAACAATAGTTATACAGTACAGTAATGGCATGAAGTCTATATAGTTAAGAAATAGAGAAACTAGGTTGGAGCATACTCCAGCCATGGGAGAGATATGTTTCATGCAATATTGCAAATATAGCTACTCACCTGAGCTTCCTCATTTTGAAAGTGTTTCTGTATGGTATCCATGATATGATCAGCTTGCAAGCACAATTTTGTATAGAATTCAGTAAGAGATGTGTTAGCTCCAGCACTTTGAATACTTTCAATCAGACATCTAAGTTTGTCAAATTGAATTTCTTCTTCAGCATGCTCCTGGGCAAAGGACAGTTCTGCATCTACAGCAGGGAATATAACTTTGTCCTCAGCAATACTGCACTCAAAAGAGAAAACAGAGTTCCATTGCACAATGTAAATGGTCAAACATAGACAATATGAATCCTGTGTTTCTCTCATATCTTATTCAAGGAGGGCAGGAGGGGAGAGAGAGTTTCAAATCCTTTAAAATGCTTAAGTGTCACTACCATGTAAGAGCTGACATTTTTCAAAATAGAATCATTTACCTATGTTTTTATATATGTTCTCTTAAAAATTATATATATTGGCCCAAAAAAAACTTTCTGAAATTATATATCTTACATATGTTTTTACGCATGTTTTTCAAAAATTAAACACATTGGCCCCTGAACTTCCTAAAATTTTATTTCCTAATATAAATTTTACACTTATTTTCATCAGTTCCGTGTTTGATCTTCATATTCTGAATATTTACTTGTCACTCAACTATTGAATATACTTTAATTGGCCACAATTTTTTTTTCTTTTCATCCTTATTTTGGTCCCTGCAATTATCGAAGTCTGGTTCTGTCCCTAGGCCCATGAAAACACAAAGTTGAAAGAAGAAAGATCTACTAATGTCAAAATTGCTTTAGGTCCTAATATGTGAAATTCAAGGAGATCTTACCGCCAAAAGTTTGCCACGCTTTGTGAACTAGAAGTTTTTGAATCAGAACGAAATTGTGGTTTCAAAAATTAGATATAATATGGGAAGCATTAGTTCATGCATCACCCAATAATCTAAAAAGCTTATCCATGTTGATTATCTTTATCCACATATCATAATGCATGCACCACTGTTGACACACTACACTCAGACAATATTATGTTCACTTGAGTTGGTCAGAAAAAAAGTCCCAGAAAACAAAACCTGTGAAATATGCAAACTTCTGCAATGAATTGCAGCCTCTTATTGAATGCAGACAGATCAGAAAAATCCCCAGATAGCTGTATCATCCTAGCAGCCTCAGCTATATCATTCAGCTCTCTTCTTATTGCAGCATGCCAAAGCAAAATTTCATCTATGGGATGGCCAATGGTTGAATTGGCTGGATAACAATTTAGCTCCATATATTTCCTTTTACCAGTTCTAGAAGATTCACATGCACAAAGTGTGTTTTTGCTTTGACAGATTAAGGCTGGTAGACCTGAATCTTGATAGCAAGCCTTAGAATCATCACAGCAACTTGTACATGTTTCAGCCAATTTTCCACCCTCCATCCAGGTGAAAATTACCTTCATTAACAGAAAAAAAAAAAAAAAAAAAAAAAAAAAGAAGATCACATGCACAAAGCGTGTGTTTTTTTGCATATATGACAGATTAAGGCTTGGCTAGACCTGAATTCTTGATAGCAAGCCTTTAGAATCATCACAGCAACTTGTACATGTTCACCAATTTTTTCCCACCCCTCCATCCAGGGTGAAAAATTACCTTCATTAACAGAAAAAAAAAAAAAAAAAAAAAAAAAAAAGTCAGCCTTTTCTTTTCTTTTTCTAATAGTAGTCCATCCAAAGATGGAGTGCACGCCCCAAAAGACCTCACCAGATGAAGAAGTTTCTCTTTTGGGATTATCTTGGACAAGCACTTGTGCATATCTTGATATTCATCAGACGATATGGAGGAAGAAAGCCAAGGAAGAAACTCCGCCATCATATTAACAGGAATGCTGCATAGAAATTGCCAAACTAATGACGCCTGCTCTTCAAATGAAAACTTCTCAATAAGCAAGGGAAAGACCTGCCATTTTCAACCACAAGCTTGTGAGTTTCAATTATAATTTTTTTTTTTTTTTTTTGGAATTAACGTAATTTTTTAAGAAGTCTGAGGCTAAATTTTTCATATATGAAAATAGATAAAATAAAGAATAGAGAAAGCTACAAATTGAGTATGTTGTGCTTTGCGTAGAGTTAAAGACATAATAGTTATTTAGTAGTTCGTTCCGTGTTAATTCAAGCAGCGTGTTAATTCAAGAGACCTACTTTCTTAGTCAATTCATGTATCTCCACATCATGCCATATTGCTTGTATTAACAAATGGATGCATTCATTTTCCCAATTTTCATTATGGGACTAGGGCCTAATAATTAATATTTAATTTTGACACAAATGCATAGCGCTCAAATTATAGCCTCTAGTTGACCTTCATATCTTTTTTGAATTTACTTATGAATTACAGCACTTAATTTCATAGTTAGGCAAGTGAAAGGCCTGCGCATTTCGTCAACCACAAGCTATCTTACCGACGGCGTTTGTGAGTTTCAATTATAATTTTTTTTCTTGAATTTACTATGAATTACAGCACTTAATTCATAGTAGGCAAGGGAAAGACCTGCCATTTTCAACCACAAGCTTGTGAGTTTCAATTATTTTTTTTTTTTTTTTTTTTGGAATTAATGTAATTTTTTAAGAAGTCTGAGGCTAAATTTTTCATATATGAAAATAGATAAAATAAAGAATAGAGAAAGCTACAAATTGAGTATGTTGTGCTTTGCGTAGAGTTAAAGACATAATAGTTATTTAGTAGTTCGTTCCGTGTTAATTCAAGCAGTCTACTTCTTGTCAATTCATGTATCTCCACATCATGCCATATTGCTTGTTTAACAAATGGATAGCATTCATTTTCCAATTTTTCATATGGACTAGGCCTAAATAATAATATTTCAACTTTTGACACAAAATGCTAGCCTAAATTATAGCCTCTAGTTGACCTTCATTCTTGAATTTACTATGAATTACAGCACTTAAAGTAGGGGCCCTCATAAGCACATAATGACCACTGCATCTTCACGCAAAAGCTTATACTGATTTCCATCATCCAAACAATGGATATTAAAACCAATGAAGAAGCATAGACAATAGTTTGTGATCATGAGAAAGAATTGTAGACATGTCAAGACCAAATATCTTGAGAATATCAAACCCCAAACCTTATGTGGAGGCAAACTATAATAATCTGCTATATAAAGCAACTAAACCAGTAAAAATGAAGAATGTTTTACACATTAATTCCTCTCAGTAACTAAATGAAATATTCAACTTATCAAACTAAATTTGAAGAGATATATAACAAAGACAATGCAAAATATCATTGCATCAATGATCTAAACAAATACCTGCTCCTCTTCCTTAGACAAATGTTGGCTAATTGATGTTCGAAGAGCACCCGTACGAGAAGCTAACTCTCTGCGATAGCTTTCTTCATTTTGTTCAGTGGAATTCAGAAGCTCAAACAATTGATCGAAAAGAACACTTTCTCCCTCATGTTCAAGAGAGTATGTCCGTGCCACATTCTTGACACGTATATCAAGAGCTGGAAAAATAACCTGCAATTAAAGTTTACATAGTCAAAATTTCCAACAAACAATCGATCTTCTAGCACTGCGTTTGGAGATGACAAGAACAAGTTTTTGACATATTGTCAACATCTTTGATTGAAGAATCTCTAAACTGAACCCATTGACAAAGCTTAAATAATTCATTGGCAAACATGTGCTACACCACATTCTGTATTTTCAGACATCTTAGTCTTCCAAAAGATTCAAACTCCAAAACTATCATTTCAACAATACAATAATTCAAGAAATGATCATGATGGAATATTCCAATATACTTTTGGGAATTGAGGCAAGAAAACCACATTAATTCAATATCTAGTAATTTGGGGACAAAAGCAGGGATGGGTGGAGTGAATAATCAACTACTAGAATTAAGGCAAAGTCAGTAAGACATCGACTTGTAAAATGAAAGCAACATAATCTCATGCTTTACTAGGCTTTTAAAGCTCATGTTGCACACATTAATATACAAATATAGTGAGACCCCAGCAGGCAGAAAGAATGTAGAAGAATAGATGAAGTGAAGTTTGACCAATTGTAGTGCGATCAAACACCTCTAATTCCATGAATACAACTAAATAATAAAATTAGAAACTAATTCACACATTTTTCTTGCATTGCATTTGAGACTTGCTATCCTTGAAACGTGCTGTATGGAAAATACATCCTCATATACAGGTCTTTTTTTTAATGATATAGAAAATCTATACAACCATGTGCAATTGCAAGGCAATGTATTGAAGTGCAGATTCTACTGGATAATTGCAAGTTGGCATCCCCTCTTGTCGCTGATTTTTTTTTTTTTTTTCACCCAACAGAAAAGAGAGAGATTCTACAAAACCTAGTTTTCAAAAGATATTGCTACTATCTAACTGGAAAGTAGCACAAATCATGACCACAAACCAAAGGAAATAATGCAGAAATCTTCAAAATTCCCTGCCAACTACCCCTCTCTTTCAATTGGGAAACTAAACCAATAAGTTGTACTACAGATGCTACCAATATTCAATCCTTTAGACCAATTTGCAAGCAACATTCAAAAGCATTATTTTTAACAAAAGAAAATGAAGATCATGCAAGAAAAAAATGAACAGTTGAACCAAGCATTCCGTCAAATAAAATAAAAAGAGAGATAATTCAAGTATACATCCATACAATCTCCAAAAATATTTACCTATCTAATTGTAACATAAGAATGCGCAGTCTGACAGTGATAACGGAATTCAAAACATAGAAATCCAGATTGAAGAAACTGAATCTGAATCAACTTGGAAAATAATACTAATAAATAAACAATCTCAACATAACAAGAACAATCCGACCTACCTCGTCTTCAGCATTGCAGTGATTCTTATATATAGCGCGAAAGAGGTGATACCTCCTAAGCAACGGCTTAATATCTCCGCCAGTTGTGGCAAAAGTCAAGGCGGCGCAGTGGAGACCATCGAGCTCAGACCTAATAGCTTTATGGAAGAAAAGAAATACAAGAATTGGAGATTTAAGAGCCGAGTTTTTAACGCAAGCTTTTGACGGCGTAGAAGGATCGATTGGGTTAACTGGCCCTGCCATTACCGCTACACCTCCTGCTCCTCCGTCTACGCCTGCAAATGGCGTCCCCATTATACAAAATCAAAGCTAAAAAAACTCGAAATGATTGCAGATTCAGAAACTTCTTAAAGAAAAATCCCTAACAGTGATCTATTTTCAAATTCCCATTTTCATGTTGGAAAGTGTCTAAATACAAATATACACAATAATATGCATTCATTGCTTTTGTCTTTGTTTCTCTCTCTAAAAACAAGGAGAAAGAATTAAGTAGCGGCCCAAAGAACAAGAAGATTAGAGAGAGAAAAAGAAAGGAGAGGCGTTTTATAGTTAAAATCCACGCGGCAGCAATCGCTTGTTGTCCTGTTTCCACCATTACCAGATTAACGTTCTCTCCATTTTTTTTTATAATTTCAATACATTTTTTTAATTACAATTTATTCTTACTAATAATAATTTAGAATGTCAATAATAATTTATCATTGAATTATGTTATTATTTTTAAAAAATTTTATTTGTGAATAAAAATAATTAGAAACATTTTAAATAACATTTTGATTAAAAATAATATTTAAATCCTTATTTATTTAAATGTTTGAAAATCAAATTATGTTTTTATATACTCTTTTTATCTCTTATTTATTCTATTTGGATAGATTGCATTTTCCCATGTTCATTTGAAAACCATTTTTCTATCTTTACTTTATTATATATAAGAATTAAATATTAATATAATAAGGACATTAATTAATTTCTTTTAAATCCTATACATTTTACTGGTAATCCTCTTTAGGCAATCAAAATAACAATGATGTTCACTAAGCATTTTATAAGCATTAAAAAAATATGGATTTGCCTCTTTATAATTTTCAAACAAAGAAATTTTTTCTTGAATTTTATTACTAACCATATGATGGTGCAAATAGACATAACGAATATACTTCTAAGCGTATTGATTATTTTCTATAAATATACACATACGTTCTTGAAATAGATCGATGTATAATATTTATACCAAAAAATATAACACAGGTAGAATACATTTGAGGAAATTAATACCCGATGGTCTGTGAGCTTGTAGTGATAGTACTCCATGTGCAACAAATCCTCATCACAAATGGTAATAGAAAATGCTTAGGTATCAAATTATCAACATGCAAAAGATAAAATGATAAAAAGAACGAAAGATAAAAATGTTTAGCAAGACTTAGAAAATCTTCAACAGTGAATTATAAAATTTTCTGATGGGTTGAGTGGCAAAATAAGAATGATGGTTATAAAATTTTTTATGATAACTACAATTCTGAGAGACGCCTATTAGATTCTAGAGTTTATAAGCTAGAGTTTTAGTTGGATTATGTTTCAAAAACTTATCAATTTATCCATATTTGTTAGATTTTAGAGTTTATAAGTTATAGTTTGAATTGAATTAGGTTTCAAAACTTATCAATTTTTCTATATTAAATATTAAATATTAAATATTAAATAGAAATTATTTGAATTGGCCGATCAAAATACACGAAAATAAAAAACCTCAAATTTTATTAAAAAAACAAATAGAACGCTTTAAACCTTTTATTTGTTTCAGTTTATATATATATATATATATATATTCTTTTTTTTTAAGCTAATTAAATATACTCCGATTGATAAGTCAAAAGGGGATTTTGTTGTATGCTACCTATATTTCATAATACTTGTCACATTTAGAATTTCACGTCCTTTAAGAAAATTATTAAAATTGTCTAAATTATAATAAATTATTAAATAAATTGATTATATTACCCTTAATTTAATACCAATTCTCTAAGAAAACCATTAATCTAACACTAATTCTCTAATAATTATTGGTCATATACAAAGAGTAAACATGAAAAAAAATATTTATTATTCCTTAAAATCACAAATATAACAAGTATTTTAAAACAAACAAATTTTCTCAAATGTAATAAATATTATGGGAGCAGTAGCTCGTAATATTATTTCGTCTATTAAATTTTGAATTTTTTTAAAATTATAAATTATTGACAAATTGAACTAAAATCGACTGCACTTAACTCGTTTATAGTCTGCATACATTTTCTGAGAAAACTATTCTATAATTTAGGAAAGGAGAAAATAAAATAGGTCATCAATTTAAAAAAAAAAAAAAGACTACGTAACCTCCTATGGATCACAAGAATATACGTCAGTCATTATCGCGTAGTTGTGTTTGCAGGTTTGGTTTCAAATGATTCATGAACACAGTAGAGTTTGAATAATTCCAATTAATTTTTTAATGCCTGGTTGTTATGCCCTTTGATTAGTCACATTTGGGTTTTGACTTCTTTCTATTTAATTTGATTTGTTGCTGGAATTTGACCTTTCAATATATTATAATTACATTTTTAAGTTAGCATTTGGCATTGGCTAAAAAATTAAATCAAGAAGGTTGAGTATATGTGCAATTCATACATGTTTTTACAGATCAGCCATTTGAATGATGATTTTTCTTTAAGGAATAAAAGATTAGATTTAAACAAAAAATTTTATAATAAATTAATAATACTCCAAAACATTTTATAATAAATTTAAACAAAATAAATTATTTTTTTTCAGCCAACAATGAACTATGGAACTTTATATAATTCATTAAAACTCCATGGATTTTATGTGGCACATGGAAAGCAAAATTTATATAGAGCAAAATCAATAAAATAATCAAAATCGTACTTTATAAATATAATTTAACTATTTAACAGTTAAAGAAATGAAATTGAGAAAATATGAATTTCTTTCTTTTAAAATTTATCGATTTCATGGATTATGCATTATTTTTCTAAAAAGAGATTGTAAATTAATTGGATGTTTAAATTCTAATGCTCAAATTTTTTTTTTCCGGAATAATTAATAGATGAAATACAATTAGTCCGTTTCTGTATTTTTAAAATTATAATAATTTGTCCTTATATTTTACTTTCATTACATTATTAGGTTATTCCATGTAATTTTGTATCTTTTCCGTTAAGTCAACAAGAAAACATAATAGTTAAATGAGAGATATTAAAATTTTATACTAGAAAAAATTTTGTTATTTGAGAAATATGACTAGTTTGTCCATGTGGTATTAAAAATATATTAAAATTGAGAATAAATAAAACCGGGTATAAAAAAAATACAAAAATTAGATGAAAGAATTAGGAAGTAAATTATAAAAAAATTTTAATCTATTTTCGAAAATGAAAAAAATAACTAATTGTATTTTCTAAATCACAGCGACCCTAATTTTTCCAATTCAAATCACCGCCTAATTTATTTCATATAAAAATTTATGTTTTCCGGATAAATAATCTGAAAAAAAATCTAATCTGACTTGGCATTCGCATAACACGTGGTGTGGGGGATAAAAGATGTGCCATGTGAGATAAGAAAGCCACTGAGAGCGGTGTGTCAAAGGACAAGAACCGTGCACACGTATGGGCAACACGGGAAAATCAGGCTGCGGCACGGACAGTAGCGGGACCTTTGTCTTTTGCGCTTGTCACAAAGTCCACGTAAACTACCACGAATTGTGGGTGAACAGAATCAGGTGATGACGTGGAGTTGGTAGACCTGACACTGACAGTGTACAAGGGCATCATAGTCATTAAACTGTATTACATTGATTACATCATTAGATAATTAGATTTTGGAATAAATAAAAGAGATTATATATGTCACTTACAAAAGGCAAAATTCTTCAAATGCGTGACATCAATTTGGTCAAAGGTTGTCGATGGCTTGTTCTGTTTCAACTTAATACTATAGTAAGTAAAAGTATTATTGTTATACAAAAAAATATTAAATTAAAAATAATTCAAGAATAATGTTAACATTTTATGTTAATATGAACAATGAAAATAAAAAATGTTTTGATATTATAATTTCATAAAATTCCAAAAACTTCTAAAGTTAATTGATATCGAGTTAACATAAAACAAAAATTAGTTTGCTTTTAAAAACATATTTGCCATATATGCACATAGAAAAAAATTATATATTTAATGATGATAATTGAAAATATATTAAAACAATGAGTAAAAAAAAAAAGTTGTATATTAGCTGCCTAACGAAATTAAATATGAAAGAATTAATAATACAATATATATTAATAAATTACTCATATATATTCCTTCTCCAAAAAAAAAATCATATATATTGAGAGACTAATTTTTGTGCGGATTGACTCGTAAATTTTTCTTCTTCTTTGGTATTAGAACATCAAATTTTGAATTATCCTCTTTCTAGCATTTTAAATATGACATTCTTACAATATTATTTTCCATCTCTCTCTTAAAATCTAAAAGCTAAAACTTCAAACCTAAAGTCTCTCTTTTCTTCTTCCACGGGCGGCTACCGTTGAGCTCTTACCAGTGGTCACCCCTTTCCTTTTTCGTTTTTTGCAAATAATCCTTAGATCTGTTTACAAATCTGAGTTAATGTCGTCCAAATATTGAGATTTATTGTTGCCCAAATATTGAGATTTTATTCCCATATCTAGTTCTGAGTTATTGTTATCACCATTATGGTGATTTTGTCTAACGTCTTTTATTATTTGGATAGTTATACAGAAAGAAGTACAGATCTCTTCTCCAATAGAATGAATAAATTTGAATGTAATTATATCAGACTTATATAAAGATCATGGAGTCGAACAGTGACCATAATAGCCACTAAGTGGAGTAAGTGATTGCCTATGATACAAATATTATGTTTTGTCAACTCAATTAGATACTTCAAATCAAGATTTTATTTTTTTATTCTTCGTATAAGTGGTTTATTATTACACTTTCTATGGAAAAATATATAAATATATTGATATATAACTCATATCTATATACAGTTTCCAATTAATGAAATTTCTAGTTTAATTTTTCTCAAAAAAAAAAAAAAAAAAAAAAATTTTTTTTTATTCTTCGATATAAGTGGTTATTATTTACACTTCTATGGAAAAATATATAAATATCATTGATATATAACTCCATATCTATATACAGTTTCCAACTTAATGAAATTTCTCAGTTTAATTTTTTCTCAAAAAAAAAAAAAAAAAAAAAAAAACTTTGACATTCTTATATTTTTCTGGGGGGCATAACTGTTCTCATATTCTTTTTAATTGGTGTTTCTTGCTTTCTGATAAACTATAATTAAATACTTAGTAACTTATTTATAAATGTACTAAAAATATTAAAATGTAATATAGTTCCATACATTAAATAAGATATTAATCGTCACACCTTAAAGGATTTTATAACGCTCGATCAAAGAACACTTTTAAATGA